CTACACTTTCCACTCTAAATTCTCCCTCAACCCTAACTCACTAGCCCTAACTCTTTCCACAACATCTCACCCTAACAATCCTCCGCGCCAAACGACGATGGCCTCGTGACCTATCTAACCCACCGAATTAACCTTAAACCCCCCCCCCCAAATTAAATAAAAGAGAGTTTCAGCACTGGTTGGTTTCTCTCCCCACTGCCTCCTGGTCTGACAGGTCTGTCAGATTTGTTATAACTAAACTATTTGCTCAATGTATATTATGTACAGATAGCAATACATAAAATAAGTATTAAACAAAATTGCCTAAAAAAATGACCAAGTTATGGCAAAAAGAAACCGGCAGTGTAATTTCGACGGGGGAGGGCGAATATCTTACTGTAAGTCCGTGAAAATCCTAATTCCTCTCTCCCAAATGTCTTACCAAACTGCCAAAAGCGCGGATCCATTAGACAATGAATTAATAATGTTCTGAGTCGGATCTGAAAGACTGGCATCACTGAGTCAATGAGAACAACGGCTGCTCTGGAAGTCCTTCTAAGTCTACCACCGTCTTTATCCAGAGAGAGGCCAGAGTCGCATGGACAAGCTCCAATAGCCTACTCACATATCAAACAGCGACTAAAGTTTCGAGGAGACCTTCAGCTAGACAGAACTTTTGGTACGCCTACTGATGCCATAATCTCTAAATTCATTCAAAGGGACCCCGGTTATTGCCGACCATGGATGGATCCAAAACTGAATATGGGCTATAAGCTGGCATTTATGAAAATAAACCAAGGTCTAGAATTCATCTAAGCGTTGAACGATATGCCACTGTTTTCAAGCGGAAATTGTGGCTATTGTACACTGTGCCAGGGAGATAAAAAGGTTGGGGATTGTCAATAGAAGAATAGCAATCTACTCGGACGGCTAGGCGGCACTGTAGACAATTGCTGCATCGACGGTAAAGTCCAGAGTAGTTTGGGACTTCATTAGTTCATTAGACACTTGTCAAAGAGGCCGATAAATTTTCCAAGGAATTGTGGCATACCAAACTGCCAAACGTGCGGATGCATTAGACTTAATGGATTACTAATAAGCCCTCCTTTCAATGGGAATGTAGCCTAGGACAGATGCACGGGAAAAAAATTTTCAAAGGACTATCGCAGAAACTAACAGCACAACTACTAAACCTAGGACGTACTAGGACTAGAATAATAGTTGGATCACTAACTGGACACTGCGAACCCCGGAGGCTGTATACTCGGAGTGACAGAAACAAGCCTGTGCAGATATTGCCAAGAAGAAATAAAAACTGCGGCCTGAAGGATACAGGATCGCTTGAAAAAGCTTTAGGGTCTGGTAAAAAGTCTCAAGCTTATCGAGGAGCTCTAGATAAAAAATGGAGATGCATAATAATACCAATACTGGTCGCGGTGTACAGGTCGTAATGAGCTCCTATATAATCTAATCCAATCTAATCTCCGAAATGTCGGCTTTAGGTTTTTTCAAAAAAAGAAAATTAGAATGTACTCCGTATTTAGAATTTTAAGCCGTATCGCTCTCGTCTCGTCCAGGTACTCCAGGACGCCGATTATGACAGGCGTCTAACGCTCCCAGCGCAAATGTCGATTCGGTAGGCTGAAGAAAACTTCTTCCGATGGGCTGATAAATCCGAGTTCACCTTTAATGGCATACTAAACCGTCGGAATTTTCCAACGTGGGCAGAGGAAAATCGGAAAATTTCGTACTCTTGTAATCACCACGTGGTTCACGTAACAATATTGGTATGGTATAGTAATGCGGAAACTAGGAAGCGGGGTTTGTGCTCCCCAGGCAGCCTTCTGGCTTATTGTACCTTCCTAGTTCCTAGTTCAGTGCAATCGACTCAATCCTTCTTCTTAGAAGTATCAGGTCATTGATTGTCGCTGCTCCAATTTCATTCCCAACTTTTTTTTTGTATGTTGGTTAAATCTTCATTGAGCTGTTGCTTCGCATTCGAAGATGATATAGTATATAGTTTTTTTTTATCTTTGAGAGCAAGCTATGATGTCAAACTCTGCGGAAGCCTTTTCAACAACTAAGAACAATCCGTGACATTCTGAGCCTTCCTCACACATGTCCGGTATGGTGTCGACTATCCGGCTTAGTAGCCTTCCAATTTGGAGAGCAGTTTAGGCTAGCCAGCACTTTAGACAATAACGGTAAAACATACCGGACGATAATTGTTAGGATTGATCCTTAGTTTACCGGGTTTGTGAATCATTATGATGATGGCGTATAATCAAGCTAATGGGAAGTAGCTGTCTGATAATTGCACGTCGATGTGCCGCGACGTTGCGCTTTCTTTTGTAGCATATGATAGATATGGATGGGACTAGGCACATATCGAGGCGCGATGTCACGACGCGAACGAACGTCGTAACGTCACCGCGCTAAGGCGTCAGATAGAGTTATAAATATTTAACGATATTATTTTTAGTTAGGCTTTTTCAGTTTATTAGACGTGAAAATGTGAATAATTCTACAATAAAACTTAAGTTAATATATTTAAGTTCAGTATCTAATTCAAATTGCTTAATCATTTCCTCCAATGTTATTGTCCTTTTTTTTACCAATCCAACTTCCCTCGCTGTATATAAAAGCTTGCAAATATTTACAATCTTGTATATCACAAAGCCTAGAGCCGTATTTTAAAATAATATCGCTGAAAACAGGCGAAACAGAACGACCATTCCGTAACAATTTCATTAGAATGAACCAAATTGTTACGGGATGCTGTCTTCCAATTTGGAGAGCAGTTTAGGTGACAATAGTCATTCCAGCACTTTAGAAAATAACGGTAGCGAACTTACTGGACGATAATTGTTAGGATTGTCGAGTGTTCGGCTACTCTTTGCCAGTAAATTCAAAATGGAACCAAAGAGTCCTAATTAATTATGGTCGGAATCTCAACAGTTTCGGAGTTTTCCCCTTTTAAGATTTCACGACCTTGCTTCAAATAAACAATGATAACTCCAAAACTAAAAGGTTTTGGACAAATCCGTTGATTCCATTGAAAACCACGTTAGATTTATATAAGATGTGATCAATACTAAACTTGTAAACGTTGGTGAAATAAGCATTTTAGTAGCCAGAACTTTAATAAATATTTTTTCTTCAAAGTTGAAAAACTTACTATGGTGATTACAAACTACTAATTCCAAACCTAGCGACCAGCAAATTTCAAAAAACGTACTCTATTTAATATCCTCTTTAGTGGTGTAATTGTTTTTTAAATTATTTCAAAGATGAAGAATTTGATGAAGGAAAGGAAAAAAACCGTGGTTGACGGATTTGTATGGTAGAAATAGTGTAAGTGTTTACTTATTTACCAACAGGACTGCAACTTTGATCAAAGGATTATTGTATTATAGTTACTATTGACCTGATGCCCCCATGAACTATTTCGTTTGGGGATTCATGAAGAACAAAGTCGGGGCATGAACGTTAGAATTAAGCATACGGAAATGCCAAACGTTGCAATTTTGATGCAACTGATCCTGTCCGCTGCTGAAAAACAAACTTACATTACACTTTCCAGTTATAGATGGCAATATGAGAAAACGAGCTCGTTTGTGCATTGCGGAGGGTGGAAAGCATTTCGAATCAAAGTTTATTCAAATTTTCCTCAAGTTATTATTTTTATTTTTATTATCTTTCAACCTTACCAATCCGTCAACCACGGTTTTCTCCCTTCCTTCATCAATTTCTTCATCTTTGAAAAACGTAATTAAAAAAGCGTTTACACCTCTAAAAATGAAATTAAACGATGTACATTTTCTGAAATTTGTTGTCCACTAGGTTTGGAAATAGTAGTTTAGAATCAACAAAGTAGGTTTTTCGATTTCGAAAAAAATTTTTTTTTTTTTTTTCAAAGTTCTGGCTACTAAAACGCTTATTTCACCAACGTTTACAAGTTTAGTATTGATCACATCTTAAAGGAAATTTAACGTAGTTTTCAATGGTATCAACGGATTTGTCCAAAACATTTTAGTTTTGGAGTTATCATTGTTTATTTGAAGTGACACGTGAAATCTTAAAATATCAGAAAAAGGGGAATAACTCCGAAACTGTTGAGATTCGGGCCATAGTTAATTAGGACTTTTTGGTTCAATTTTGAATGTAGAATCAATTGGCAAAGTTTGTAACAAGAGTAGCCGAACACCCTTATATATTTGCATTAGCGAAATGGCCACAGCCAAGTCCTATTTTTATTATTTATAGTTTATTTTGTTATTAATTTAAACGTCTTTTTTTTAATCGTGTCATTGGTTCAAGAGAAATTCAGCCGAGGCCATTTAAAAAGGAAACCCTGTATTGTGTAAAAAGGTGGGTCTGTCACCGGACATAATCCCACATCATATCACACATGAATTAGAGCTTTAACACATAAGTATACAACTTACAGTGAACTGTAAATTCAACCAAACTAGAATGTAATTTTGTTAGAATGAAGTATATACTTTAATTAACAAAAATATTTAAAAAATAATAATTTCCTATTTTCTTCTCTGTTCAACTTTAACCGTTTAAATCCTCGTGATGTAAAGTGGGGAAATTAATAAATATTTAACAGTTTTGTTCCAAGGGGGATATCGACGTGTTTCCTCTGAGACGGATCGCCGAATAAAAGCCGTGGATAATCCGCGGTCTTATTAAAGAGGGGTGCTTCATGGATTTTTGATGATACATCTTTTCTGCATTAAGACGGGATAAGACACCGGTCTTTTTTTTTACCCATTGGGTGCACCTCGTCTATATTTCATCATCGATCGATACGCGACAAAAAAAAATTGATTTTAAAGGAAAAAACCCATGGGGACAGATTGACCCGTGGTGCATTCAAGCAGATAATTGCACGTGTCCGAGTCGCGTGCGGTCATTTTAGACTAATTTCCAACGTGCCACCTGCCCTACTGATTGTTTCCACCTGCCCTATGTCCCTTTAAGCAAAAAAAAAAAAATATATATATGCTCAGCATGCAGGAAGAAGGAAAAGAAGCTTACTGCAAAGTCTGCGGTGACAAGGCGTCAGGCAAGCACTATGGTGTCGCCAGCTGTGACGGGTGCAGGGGCTTTTTCAAGAGGTCGATACGACGCAATCTGGACTACGTGTGCAAAGAAGAAGGCAGGTGTGTCGTCGACGTGACCAGAAGGAACCAGTGCCAGGCTTGCCGATTCTCGAAGTGCCTACGTGTCAACATGAAAAAAGACGGTAGAAACAAAACAATAGACATTCATATCATATAACGGACATACCGGTCTTTTCAGCCGTCCAGCATGAAAGATCTCCTAGGAGCAACAGCGCGACACCTTCCCTGTCCTTCGTCTACCAGCAGTTCCTTCCATACCCTAGAGCTTACCTCCACCCAGGTAAAAACCGTAAAAAAAAAAAACTGAAGAAAAATCAAAAGCTTTATTTTACAAGCTTCCATACCAGGCCTGCAGTACATGGGATGCTACATGAGGTCGGAATGCAACGAAAACGAAGTCTCGAGCTCACAAGAATCAACGGAATCAAGTAAAACAAAAACCTACGTAAAACATTAAAAAAACTAATACGATAATTTTTCAAGGGTTAGAACCGTCCGTGTCCCTCCTCTCCGAGGACATATACAGCACTTCCAGCCGCCTTCTTTCCCTGACAGTACAGTGCGTCAGGGCCATACCTTCCTTTCAACAGGTAAGGTTATAACTTTTTAAAACAGTCTGTCTTTTTAATATTTTTTTATTTTTATTTGACAGTTGTCGCCGCAGGATCGTGACTCCCTACTAGAAGACTCCTGGAAGGACCTATTCATCCTCACACTTGCCCAGTGGTCACTTCCTATAGAGCAAGGTCGAACTGATTTCTTTAAAAAAAAATTAATCAGAATCTAAGAAGATCAGAGAATCAAATAGATTACACGACATTTGAAAAATGGCAAAAAGGAGGGAAAATTCAAAAGGTGAGGTTGAGATGGGAAGTTGGTGTCCGAGTGGATCGAAATCACGATAGCTCAAGTGGTAGAGCAGCGACCTATTTAGCCGAAGGTCGTGGGTTCGAATCACGCTTGTGACACTGACTTTATCTCAACCAATACCTTAAATACAGATTAATTAATTGAAAGATATTATTTGGTCAAGCGGACCACGAAAACTAGTGAATTTAAAAAAATTAATATTATCTGTTTAAATTCACTAGTTTCTTGGTCCGCTTGACCAATTAATATCATACAATCATACACCTTGTCCGAGTGGATCGAGGTCACGACAGCTCAAATGGTAGAGCAGCGGCGTATCAAGCCGAAGATCGTGGGTTCGAATCCCTCTCGTGCCATTGACTTTTTTATCTCAACTAAAAACCTTAATTAATTGTATGATATTGATTGGTCAAGCGGACCACGAAACTAGTGAATTTAATAAGTTTGAAATGAAGTACCCTTCACTAAAACTCTCCGTGGCCATTCCATTTGTCGCCGAGAATCAAATTGATTACACATTTGAAAAATGGCAAAAAGGAGGGAAAATTCTAAAGGTGTGGTTGAGATGGGAAGTTGGTGTCTGTATGGACCGAGGTCATGATAGCTCAAGTGGTAGAGCAGCGGCATATCAAGCCGAAGATCGTGGGTTCGAATCCCGCTCGTGCCATCGACTTTTTTATCTCAACTAAAAACCTTAATTAATTGTATATTATTATCTGTATTATTCTGTATCCTAATTCTTTAGATCAATTTGACATGATTCTTCTCTTAAGAAGTGCGTCATTCCTAATCTTCATTGCATAACCTACTAATGCATTAAATAGGTATGAACCTATATTATATGAGGTAGTCTCAGACTCCAGTGACCTCTATATAGCTCTAGTTTAACTGTACCAATGTGTTTGCCAGTTTTGTTCAGGTTTTCTTTGTAGTTTTAAAGGGTAACTTATCTGGCACCTATACAGTTTCTTTCAGGCTTCTTTGTACTTTTCATGAGTAAAGGCACCTTCAATAATTTTGTTTTTCCCGTATCCATCAAATACGGAATCTGTTGTGTAGTCCTGACCCTTTGGTCTTGCACTCCTTCAGGTCCTGGCACCCAAGATTTCGGAGATTTTGTATGCAGTCGCTGATTATTCTGGATTTTTTCACTTTTCTTTAAGGCCTTAAAGTAAAGCCATCTCAAATAGTCAGTGGATGTCAAAATCTTGGGGGGTTTAACGAAATTTAAAGTGCGTTCCTAAATTTGAAGGTGTAGAAAGAAATTAACAAAACCAACTAGCCAAAAAAGGGCTAGAACACGTGGGAACAAAACCACAACTTAGTCCACCGGAGTATGTTATTTAACCTGTTTTTTACTTTAAACCATGGCCTTCCTTCTTCTTAAAAAACTTTCTTCTACATCTTTATATTCTAATAGCATTTATAATTTCATTGCTTGTCCTTTTAGAAAAACTTATCCGTGACACAGGCATCGACGACGCGTCAAGGTTGGACGAGTTGAGAAAAGACTTAAAAGTCGTGTCATACGCCATCGCCAGGCTTACCCAGCTCAGGGCGGACCACACCGAATTCGCCTGCCTCAAAGCACTCGTCCTCTTCAACCCGGGTACCTAGAATTCGGAACTTATTGTTTTTCGTCTTCAATTTATTAATTGAACATCCCAAACAGAATCGGTCAGAAAAGAAGAGGTTGAAGTCCTCCAGGAGCAGACGCACGTCATGCTCGCTGAGTATTCGGGAGTCAGGTCGGCCAAGCTGCTCCTCCTTTTGCTCAACACCAGCAGGACTTCACTGAAAAACATCCTTCTCCTATTTTTCAACAGGCACGCACCCGTCAGGCTGGAAGGCCTCCTCGCTTCAAAATAAACCATAAAACTGTCACTTTTTTTTTATTAAAAGAAAAGTTCTTTATTCGGTGGTTTTTGTATACCCTTTTGAAAATATTTCAGCAATATAGGCCAAGGACATAGTTTGGGATATGAAGCCTACGCATATGAATTGGCGGAATTCGTCTTCGTTACACAAGCGAAACCGTGCGAATCCATTTGCACCACTCAAACCATGACGTCATAACATCAAACCAAGGTGATCGATTTATAGGAGGTAATAGTCAGGTTATACGAGACACCGTTTGTTTATCCAACATCCATGCTTGGACATGGTCAAAAAGAAAAATGTAAGATTTAATTGTAGTTATTATTATATAAAAAAAAAAAAATAAACCCTGTACAATAAATATACAATAATAATGTTTACTTATTGAGATGCTGAGTTTTTTTTATGTACAACATCAAATCAGCAATATTTCTGACGGATTTTGTTCAATTTTTATGATTGTTTGTCAGTTGAAATTTATCATTGCAGCAGAGCGAAACTCAGGAAGGAGAGGAACCAGGTACAAGCGGTGACGCAGAAGAAATGGAAGAGAAGAAACGTCCTGTTTTTCGCAACCCAAATTACCAAGTGAGGCGTATTTGAATTTAGTTCTGTATGTAAAATCAATTATGGTACTGCTGTACAGCATCAAACGAGCATAGGCGGTAAGAAGAAGACTTGGAAATCACTCAAGCAGATCCTTGCCCAGGAGCGCAGCCTCCCCTGGCCACCGAACACTCCGTTATGTAAGCACCTTGCGTTCTTGCTCTCCCTACACGTTTAAATTTAAATTGTTTTATTTTTAAATTGTTAAAGATTCAAACATAGGTGCACCACCGTTGTTGAAACCGCCCAAAAAATTCTCAGACATCTCAGGCCTCGAGGTAAGAAGACATTTATTTCCTTATATTTTTAATAATTTACCTTTCAAATACTCTGGACCATACAGAGCTTCCTGACCCATCCTAATCGGCTCAAGTCTATCTTCCCTATCCTGATAATCTGTAAACAACTTACTCCTACCTTAATATCTCATATCCTAGCATTAGTTTCATTCAACCTGTGTCCTCTGTCTGCTGGCCATAGTGCCAGTCCAAATTGCTTCGATTTATAAAAAGAACTACCAAAGCTTTTCAATGTCCAACCCTTGGCTGACTAAAGATCTTTAGTTTGGTGGAGTGACCGAACTTCTTTATATTCATGATGTTCAGTCCGGTCCCTTACTTTCTTTCTCTCGCTCACTCACTAAGTCACTCATTTTCCTTCTCTTTTGCTTGCTCACTCACTCAGCCTCCCAATCACTGTTTTTCTCTTGCTCACTCACTTTTTGTCTCCCTCACTGATTCATTCACTCACTAACTCACTTGCTCTTTCTCTTTTGCTCCCTCTCTCTCTCATTATACCATTACCTTTTCTGACAATACAGCAATCTGACCTAGCTGTTCAATCCCACCAAGACTTCCTTTCTGTCATCCTTAAATCCTACCTTGACTTCTCGGGTATTTTATCGCCAATGTTCCTCAAGAGATCATCTTACTACCTCTTTTTTTATTATTTTATATAATCTTATTACGTTCTTTTCTTGAAATCCTATTGACCGCTCCTTCAGCAAGGTTTCAGAGTCGCCGATACCATAACCGCAGCTCTATGAGACATCTTGGGTTTTCTAGATGGGGCCCAGGCACCCTAGGCATTTTTATACTTGCTATTTCCTATTTTGCCTTCAACTTCTGATTTCCAAGAACGCTATGAGTTTTTTTAAAATTGAAATACTGCAAAAAGTGGAGGACACAACTGAACAAGGACTTTTTCCACTCAACATACTTACCTATACAGCAAACTAACTTAAAAGACAAAACTTGACAGAAGGGTCAGACAACTTTGAAGAATTATAGAACCTAGAGAAAACTCGAGACGGTTTAGTGTATTTAATTTTTTTTTTGTAATATTCCAGGCTAAGTACACTGACCCGCAAACGAAGCTTTTCTTCTCGAACGCAGAGGAGTTTGCCACGATACGATCCCTCCCGAGCGATATAATAGCTGGCTATTTGAATCTCAGGGGTGCCAACAACCCGATCGCCTGACGACGAAAACAAAAATCTTCTAATAATTGTAAAAAAACCAAAATTCTTTTGTTTATATTTACAAGTTTTTATTTTTTATTTTTTTTTAAATCAATAATAATATATATTAAATATACTATCTACGTATTGTTTAGTTCGTCCTTGGTCTTCTTTTTCTTTTTCTTCCCCTTGCTAATTAGTTGGCTTTCAATTAATTCCGTCAGAATTTTTTCACGCTCGAAATCCAAAGAATCTGAAAAACAAAACAAAAACTTTAATAATAATTTTTTGGGGTGGTTAGGTTTAATAATAATCATACCTCAGTAAAATTTGGGGGCATATAATTCTACATAAAGACGTGGTATAGATTGTATTGTAACTTTTTTTTGGTGATACCACAAAAATATTTTACTTTGAACTAGTTCTAACGAGGCTTATAAGAACCCTTGGGGTGCCGGTCTTTTGAAAGAAGAAAAAAGCCCATTTGTATGTTAGATACGAATGCAGGACTGCTAGGTTCAAACCATCACTTTACCTTAGTGATGAGCGCCGAGTCAATGTCTAAACCGTTATGGCCACCTTTTTTAAACTAATTTCAAATGAACTATCCATGAAAAGAACTATTATATTGATCAATCTTCCTTTTAAGTGAACTGAATTCCTGGCAGACCTGAACCATCTCTAAAGTGAATTGTTCATGAATGAACTAGTTGTAATGAACAACCCCCGGTGAAGAATTATGTTGACTAATCTTTCTTCTTAATGAACCTCCTTCCTATGTGCAAGAGGTCAGAAGATGAAAATGTTCTAACTTAAAAGTTTTATGTTAGATGACTGGAAAGTTCAAGCTCTCAAATTAGTAACTTAACGTTACTACTAACAAGACCTAGGCTATGGACATTGGATCACCGAATTCAATGAAACTTTTTCAGGTGATACTAAATCGAAAAATATTAGACAAGTGTTCGAGCATTCTTTTTCTTTCTAACTTTTTCAACTCAACCAAGACCTTAATAAAAAGAATAATTAATTGAAATTATTTTATAGCTTCAACAATTTTTTAAAATGTTTTAATTACAAATTATTTTAATAATTAATTTTATATTTTAAATAACTAACTAGTCTTGATTGCAAAGGAAAGCACATCTGGGTCAGAAATAATCTTAGTAAAACTTATTATATGGATATTTATGCTTGTTTGTTAGGTTTGTATATTGTCTGTTACTATCACAAAGAAATTAATACTCTCTTAGGCATTCATTGACCACCATTATTATCGTTAGAGCAAACTAACTTAAACCACTGAGAGCAAGAATAGTGTCACAACTCTAAAAGGGGTAGTACAGCTGGATTTTTAAAGTTTTGTGTTTTCACTTTAAGACTTGGAGAAACGAAAGACAATATTGATGGATCGTGACAGTTTTTATTGCCAACAACTGTAATGGCGTGTACTCAATACATAAGTCAAAAAAAGTAAACTTCCATTTGGCTCTCTGCAAAATTTACTTTTATTGAATTGTGTCACTTTTCTTGTGGGTGTGCGATATGAAAAGAGAAAAAAATCCAAAACATACGCTCTTTAAAAAGCCTTAACTACATATTTTTATTGGAAACTAAAACTATTTTTTGGCCTATCTTAGCTGTTATCATAAAAATTTCATAAATTCTCTTGATCCCCCCCTGAATTCCACGCCATTACGACGAATTATAATTTTTATCTAAGTTCTTGGTTGAGATGAACAAGTGTCACGAGTGCGATTCAAACCCACGACCTTCGGCTCAACACGCCGCAGCTCTAACCACTTGATCACAATAACTCAGCAGTTAGAGTAGCGGTGTATTGAGTTGAAGATTGAGAGTTTGAATCCCCCTCATATCCCTTTTTCATTGCAACCAAGACCTTATATAAAATTATAATTAATTTAAAAATTAATACGGTCAATTATGACTGCTAAACATATACGGGTTATTTCAACAAGCAGAATTTCTCTTCTTTCAGATTATGTCAAGAACGTTTTGATTACATGCCTACTAATATTAGTTTTTATTAAGTTATTATTAATTATACATATACTCAATTAATTATATCGTTTTTTTCAAAATGAAAAATTTGGATCACAGGCGGGATTTGAACCCAATTCCACTCAATATGCCGCGGCTCTAACAGCTTGACTACAATAGCTCAAGTGGTTAGAGTAGCGGCGGTATTAGCCAAAGGTCGTGGGTTCGAATCCCATTCGTGACTCCTGTTCATCTCTCCCCAGAGTTACGTTTTTGAGTGGCTCAAATTCGCGACCCTTAATTTGTGCTAGGCTTGCATGGAATTACAGATACAAGTTAATTTAGGAGTTTATTTTATGATTTGTATTGTATAACCTGTTTCCTTCTTCTTTCTTTCTCATTTTACCAGTTGTTATTATTTCTCTTTTCTTTCCATTTATTTCTTCACTTATCATCTTACTTTATTCTGTATTTTTTGCCTTTATGATTGTTTAACCAACTACCTCTGCCAGACTTTTCCAAGATCCTGTCCTTAAATGCTTTGAAAGCACATTTACCATTTTTCTGAAGTTCAATAAAGCATTATTATTATTCAATATTTGCTTAGTGGTCATAATTGACCATATTAATTATTATTTTTATCTAAGGTTGAGATGAAAAACTGGTGTCAAGAGCAGGATTCGAACCCATACTAACTTTTTAACTATTTTTATCAGCTTATTCTTAGTTATGTAATTACTCAATTAATTATACTATAATTTTTATTATATTTTTTTAATTATATATAATTTTTTTCAAAATTAAAAATTGTGTCATAGGTGGGATTCGAACCTATGACTTTTGAGTAAATAAGCCGCTGCTCTACCACTTGAGCTACCATTAATTCCATCGCCCATGTCACAAACTTCCCATTTCAACTCCCCTTTTATTCAAATTGTAATTATGATATAATTATTATTATATAATTAACTGAATAATTTATAATTAAGAATAATCTGATCAAAATAATTAAAAAGTTAGTATTAACTTAGAATCACACCTGTGAATCATACACAGTCCCTCTAATGTATACAATCGTTATTAAAATGTGTTTCTATATGCTGCTGCGATTCGCTTACAATGGAATAAATGGGGAGTCGAAATGAGAAGTTTGTGGCATGATCAGTCAAGTCACAGTAGCTCAAGTGGTACAGCAGTGGAGTATTTAGCCGAAAGTTGTGGGTTCAAATCCCGCCTGACAAATTTTTCATTTTGAAAAAAAAAAGTGTATAATTTATTGAGTAATTATTTTTTTTTTTAATCTAAGGTTTTTGGTTGAGATGAAAAACTAGTGTCATGAGCGGGATTCATGATCTTCGACTCGATACGCCGCTGCTCTAACCACTTTGCTATCTTGACTTCAATCCCCTCAAACATCACCTTCTCATCTCAACCTACAACCTTTTGAATTTTCCCTCTTTTTGCCATATTTTCAAATGTTGGGTAATCAGGAATCGAGTGCCCACAGGGAGCAGTTAGTGAAGTAATTACTTCTTTACGTATTATATATTAATATTAATTTTCCCGGCATACGGTTTTTATCCATGGATTTTATGTTAAGGCATATGTTTTGCTTTGTAAACGTTTTTTGTACCAATAAAGCATTATTATTAATTTGAAAAATGGCAAAAAGGGGGAAAATTGGAAGGTTGTAGGTTGAGATGAGGAGTTGGAGTCCGAGGAGATCGAAGTCATGATAGCTTAAGTGGTTAGAGCGGAGGTGTATCGAACCAAAGGTCAAGGGTTTGAATCCCGTTCATGACACTAGGTTTTACTTAGAGCCTTAGATAAAAAGAATAATTAATTGGAATTATTATTAAAATGTGTCATTTTATTACTATTGTTCTATTTTTATTTTAATGACGGCGCCATTACATGTAATATAATAGGTTATAAATCCATGGAAAGTTTCCCCTGGAATGGTGAAGTTGTTTTTAAAAAATCTAAGGAAACAATAGTCGAAAAATTATTTTTTGATTTTCCCCAAAATTTGTATTGGGGTTTTTCTTGGCACGAAAAACGAATATTGACTGTTTCTTGTTGAAAAAACTGTTTTTTAAACCTTTGTACATCAGAATTGAATCTGGCTGCCAGTCCCACAGCGTGTCTATCATAAAGTATTGAAACAGATAATTTATGACCCGAGGAAATTAATAATCATTTTAAAAGATAGTTTTCTACTCACAGTTTTTAGTTTTTTCAACTATCCGGATTTAAAAAGCGTCAGCTTAAAGCTCATCCAAGGATTCACATCCACGTCTCTCGACGTGAACGTTGACTAGATCCCCGCCAACGCGACCGACCAATGAGAGAAGCAGGCTTTTTTTACCGCTCAATTTTGAAGATTTGAAAAGCGGGAAAGCACCCCAAGTATCGATACCGGTATCATTTCAGCTTTTAAATTACATTCATGTAGACAGTGTAAAACTTTTAAAAGAATCAAAATTTACTTTAAATGAATTCTCAGTAGTCCTAAACTCTCAAAAAGACCACCTCACCTGGATCGGATAATGTAAGTAGTAGCATGGTTAAAAGCTTGAAAACTTCTAACCCAAAATCTTAAGCTAGGTTTCCACTACGCTCGCGCTGTGGAACCTAGACAGGTAAAAGTTTTGGCGCGAGGATGTTTTGGGTTGACTGGCATTCGGTTTTTTTTAGGGCGCATCAAAGAGTTTCGCTCTGAATGTATCACAGCAACCAATTTTTTTAAAAGGAAATAAGCATCGTAATGATGCAAAGACAAAAAGGACAACAAAAATTGTCACCATGATAGCAAACGCTGTTGCAGTAGTTGGTGGCTCGTCACTGGAAATATTAAGGCAGATCTAGCAGCAAAACTGGCTATGAGCAATGACGGAAGTTCCTCCAGACGACTTTTCCTCGTTCGTGAAATGTCAGGGAAAGCAGGGTCAAATATTTGTTTACCAAGAAACCAAATAGATAATCGTTTCTCTACCCAGGAAAAAAGTACAAAAATATTTAGGGTAATAATTTCCCGCTCTGATTTTTTTCTCTCTTAAATTCATAAAAACAGCGATAAATTTGTAACGACTTCACTGATCCAGAGGAAATATTACAAGGATTTAGAACCTTGTAGACAGACTGCTGGTTTACCAAGTCTGGCCTCCGTAAATAACTTAGGACGAAAGTAATAAAATAAAGCGTTGGATAAAGTTTTGTTGATTTCATTATGGAATATAACTAAACATTCTTGACATAATCACAGAAAGGAAATTCAGCTTTTCAACGGTCCCAGTAACGTGGAACACCAGACATCATAAGGAGGAAAAAAAAGTGGGAACTAAAGCAGGGAAAACACCCTACACAATGCAATGCAACATGACCCGACGCCTTGCCTTGTTTTGGTAGGGTGTGCACATCTGTTCGATGTCACGAGCACGCCACGTACAGTCACACAGCGTGTATCACAAAACAGTATCACAATTGAAATGCCTCATTTGTTCTTAATGCATTATTTTGAGCAAAACCATGAAATACATTGTTTGTTAAATTTGATGAACACATGTATTAAACTGTTAGTTAAATTTAATTGTTTTAAATAAAGTTATTCCGGTGTTTTGATAAATTTTCTGTCTAACCATAATAATTAAATAATTTTTATAAAATCTCATGCATTTTTGATCTATTTTAATTTAGTTTACATTAAACAAAACAATACATTAATATAACAACAAAATTATGTATATTTAGTTTGAAATAAACTACAAAAAATATGTGTCCGGTTCTGACGCTACTCGACGAAAATGGTGTAATTTTATGAGCAAAAACATGTAATAAAATAAATTGTTTAGTTGAAGTTTATGAGCAAAACCATGAAATAAATCGTTAAATTTTATGAGTAAAACATTTTTTTGCCTTATTAATCATATTGGCCATCAATACCTTCACTGGGCAAAGAAGCTGTACCCGGCCGCCAAGGGCAACCAAATTGAAATTTATTATTCAGACTTTTATTTTTACTCCGTGTTCACTGATCTATCCACTTTATGTATTGGTTTAATTTGATTATTTATCATATTGAAGTGTCAATATTCTTAAGAAATTTGTATATAAGGGAATATACTTTTATATCCTCTGACATCAGAATAGTTTCCAAATTGAAAGTGTTTTATATTCTGGAGCCTGCCTAGCTTCTCTAATAAGATGGTTCTTTTACTCACAAAACCTTTATTTATTATTAGTTAAATTTTATGAGCAAAACCGTGTAATAAATTGTTAGTTAAATTCATTCTATCAATAAACGGTATTCCAGTGTTTTGATAAATTTTCTGCCTAGCTATCATAAGTAAATAATTTTTATAAAAACTCGTGAATGTTTGATCTCGCTTAATTTGGTTTATAGTAAAATAAGTATGTTGTAATTAATATAACGACTATAATACGTATAGTTTGAAATAAAAATATGAGTGTCTGTTTCTTTTCTCTTCGACTGTACTCGATGAAAATCAGGACAGGGAACTTGGGTGCATCACGTAGCATAGAGGTATGGTAGCATTGCGTGGCATCAGGTAGATGTGCACGGGGGTAATACAATCTTATGGAAAATTGGACATTGGATTTGCATTGGGTAGCTTCAAGTCACATAGCGTAGCGCTGTGTCAGGTGTGTTCCCCACTTAATCCAGCCTAATTTTTTTAATTTTTTTATTTATTTCCAATGAAAATTCTTATTTAATGCTTTTAAAGAGTGCTTGAAACGAATTTGAATTGGTGTTATCGCGAACATTTTTTTTTTTTTTCAAATCTACTTTACTCAATGCACCTTTTGGTTTTTTCAACTTTTTATGTTTAATCTCATATAATGCAGTCCTGTATATTTTTTTAAAGTACTTAACCTTAAACATGCATCCGAAACAAAGGCAGAAAATAAATTTTACAAAAATTACTTAATTTTTTTCTTGGCTCCTAGGGCTCATCGGGAAGAATTATCAAATGCATGTCTAATATTTTTTGTCCCAGTATCACCCGGAAAAGTTTCATTGGCGATCCCATGCCAACAGGGGTTAGTAACTTGAAGTTACTAATTTGGTTGCTTGAACCTTCTAATATTTTAAGTCACAGAATTTTCAACTTCTTTCCTATTAAATATAAAATATATTGCAGAAAATTATTAAAATCTAGTTCAATACAGTTTTAAGAAAATTTTTGTTAAAAATAAGTCAAATCCCGCAGCCTTGGCTATACACGACTTCAAAAATACTGGGAAAATTAAAATAAATTTTTTTAAAATAATGCGCTTGATCGTTACATCATTTTAAAAATAATAAGGAAAGAAAAATAAATAGTCAAGTGTACGAACAGATGTGCGACATTTCTGAATATTTGTATGTTGACAAATAACAAACCTTCCATTTTATGCTTTTTCTTTTTCTTCTTAGGCGTGGGTGAAATTTCCTCATGGAAAGTTGAAAGGTTGATCCCTTCCTCATATGTTACCATTCTGTCATCTTAAAAAATAAAAATAAAATAAATTAATTAATTAAAAGTAAAAATTAAGCCAATTATATATGTAAAAAATAATCAAAACAGACCTTCGAGTGAGTGTTTTTGTTTTTTGTGCTTGTGCTTCGAATGCAACGGGCTGAATTGGAGGATAGATTCTGACAAATCCGAATCTACGGAATGTTTGTGTTTTTTCTTTTTCCTGACTGAATTGTCGTCGTCAATCATAACGACAGGTTCACCCAGTTCCTCAGTATGCCTGTGTTTTTTCTTTTTCCTGACTGAATCGTCGTCATCAATCATAACGACAGGTTCACCCAGTTCCTTGGTATGCCTGTGTTTTTTCTTTTTCCTGACTGAATCATCGTCGTCAATCATGACGACAGATTCACCCAGTTCCTCGGTATGCCTGTGCTTTTTCTTTTCCCTGACTGAATCGTCGTCAATCATCATGACAACCGGTTCACCCGGTCCCTCGGTATGCCTGTGTTTTTTCTTTTTCCTGACTGAATCATCGACAATCGTCGTGATGATCGGTCCCTCAGTATACCTGTGTTTTTTCTTTTTCGCCTTCGCCTCGGAAGATTCAACTTCGGTCTTAACATTTTCCAAAATCAGTGGAGATTTGAGGCTGTCATGTAAACATTCTGACCATTGGCGTTTTCGCTTCTTCAAATTTACATAATTTTCATCTAAAAAATTAATACATTTAGTTTAATAATAATAATAATAATAATAATAATAAAATAATAAAAATTAAACAAAATACTAACCAGACTTTATTTCTTCCTTAATGGCGTGGCTATCAGATTCAAAGGAAACATTTTCTGTAAAAATTAAAAAATTAATAATAATTATTCTAATTAAATTAAACAACATAAAGCCAGCCCAATTTCTAGCTAATCCCATCCTAGCTGCAGATCCTGCTTCAAATTATTTAATTATTTTTTTATTTGACTTTATTAATGGCATTGAACATTTTCACAGCCATAATCCATAATTATTTTAATGCATATACATTAAAATTATTTTATTGCACTGTGCATTAATAGTTGAGCATACAGTTATTTTTATATTGGACAAAAATTGACTATTACCAATGAAGCTATAGTTGCAACCTGCTACCTGCAAAGAAAGTGTAGTTATTTTTGCAAGTTGGAACATTCCTCGTTTTTTTACTTGGAACATTGATTTTTATCTCTTCTAATAATTTAGGACAGTTTACGCATTTAGGTAATAGATTAATATAAAGTTTACATCACAAGTGTATCTATATTTTAATATAGTTCTTAATTTAGAGTATGATTTGTTTTTCTAAAAGAATACTAGATTTAAATGCAAGATATAATAAACTTATTTTGAACTTTGTCACTTCTTTGGATGGAACCTAGGTAGTGTGGTGACAAAATAGTTGCGTTAAACTCCAGTCTAGATCTCACTAAACAGAAGTACAAACTTTTTAGGCAATTTATATTGAAGAATTCACAGGTATTGCATAGAAAACCTAGCTTTTTTTAAACCCTTATTTAATTATAATACAATTTAAGTGATTTTTAAAAGATCTTTGTCAAATATGACATATGCTAGCAAGCTTAATACAAAATTTAGATAAAGGGTAGTTATAAACAAAAGTTTTTTGGGCTCTTTGAAAAACGAATAAGACATTTATATCCACAGAATTTCATTCACATCGTATGACTAGATTTTTTAAAAGAATTACATCTAATTTTTAAGCTTTAATATTTTAATTGTAGTTCTGTTCTTGCCTAACTTTCTTTAATCTCTTTCTTGTAATATTTTATCCTAGCCAATCTCTATCTACTATTTTTTTTTTAAATCTCTTTCATGTTATTTTACAACAGTCTCTTATATTATTCTACTTTACATACCATAACTCTATTTTTAATATACGGCGTAATTTACCTTCTTTAATTTTCTTTTTCTTCTTCTTTTTTTCCGCTGACTTGCCAATCAGATCTAGTTGATTTTCCTTCACTGAATTAAAAAAAAAGAAAAAAATGCATTACATCTTAATTTTGGACTGTATGTTTCTCTGTTTGTTCAAATTACATGGCGAAACTGGCAAATTTTTGTTTATCACTGCATCCGGGAGCGGGATCCTTTCGGACAGGGTGATGTCCAAATCATCGACATCGAGCATGTCCATTGCCTTCGTGAGTACGATGCTCCCGGCCAACTGGAACGTCCCAAGGGCGAACGAACGTCCAAGCCTGGATGGCAAAACGATGTCTAACGACCTGCCGATGTTTTCTTTCTCACAGAAACATTCGTAGCCAGGTTCTCCCTTAATCCGTATCATCGATTCGCCCTCGAGAGACACCTTCTGACCTTCCAAATCCGAAATTTGCAGCTGAAAATTGTCTAATTAATCTCTAATTATTGAATTTTTTCTAATACGATACCTCTTTGGGACACTGGATAATAAATATTTCATCTTCGGCATTGATATCTTCTATAAAAAGCTGACTATCAACATCATCTTCATACTTCACTATTTCTTTTATATTGATCATCTAAAAAGATTTTTAATTATTTTTTTTTTTTAAATATTTATTATGAGTAAATAAATGATTTACATTTTCAGTGATGTCGTCTTCATCTTGAATTGTCGTGTTCGGCGTGAGCACGGTCGTTTTAAGGTTTTGCACTGTTGACTCATCACAAGGTGGATTGCTTATCATGAAATCTTTTATACTGAGAGACTTCGACTTGGCCTTTGATCCTTGCAGACGTTTGTCAGACGAATTTTCTATAGGCGTGCTCGTCGTAAATTCCCTCGCACTTATCGGCTTCGACATTGTCTGAGGAGTGGATTTTGCAGGTGTCTCGCTCGTACGGGCAGTCAAAAAATCTTTTATGGTCTTTTTTCTAACGGCAGGCGTAACGTTGGGTTTCACAGATTCCAAACTCGACTGTTGACCGATAGAGACTGAAGGATCGGGAGATAAGGAATGCGGGTGAATCCTAGAGTCTTTTTTCTTTGGACTTTTATTGAAATTGATAATTGTCTCTTCTGACATTTTCAGATCGTGTTGGACTTCTCTGTCCGAACTGTCATGAGTGTCTGGAATATCCGGAGCATCTGGACTGTCCGGACTGTCAGGAGTGTCTGGAGCATCTGGACTGTCCGGACTGTCATGAGCTTCTGGAATGTCTGGAGCATCTGGACTGTCCGGACTGTCATGAGCGTCTGGAATGTCTGGAGCATCTGGACTGTCCGAACTGTCATGAGCATCTGGAATGTCCAGAGCATTTGGACTATCCGGACTGTCATGAGTGTCTGGACTGTCGTTAGCATCCGGACTGTCCTGAGCATCTGGACTATCATTAGCGCCTGGACTGTCATGAGCATTTGAACTGTCTGGACTGTCCAGAGCGTCTTGTATGTTCTTGGCATCTGGATCCGAAGCATTTGGAGCGATTCGTGCACTTTCATCTCCTGAGTCTGAGTCCGATTCGGAATCGCTTGTGCCTGAACTAAAAGCGGGTTGTTCTTTCTTGGGCGACCTATTAGACACCTTCCTAGACTTAATTTTCTCCATACTGCTCCACAATCTGACCATGATCTTCTCCTGCTCGGAGTCGGATGTGGACACGCACTGCGCTCCGCCTGGTGACCGCATTTCCTCCCTTTCGTCCAGCTTCTTCCAAACGTCCTGGGTCTCTTGATCGTCAAAAACAACCTTTTCCAAGTCAGATTTGAGACCCTTCCAACGGAAATACTTGACTATTTGGACGGGCAAAGGAAATGCGACCCTTCTACGTTTGGACATCGAATTCAGAAAATCACATGACGCTGGTTTACGACAAATAAAACTCAATAAATTAGTGCTATTTAAAGAAAAATCATCAAAAATTTACCTTTTGACCCCTACAGTCGATCTCTTGATGAGGCCACACGATCCACTACCACATGCGTACGCCCGGCAAATAGTAACCTCCTTGTTTCCCTACCCTCTGCTTAAATTCCCCAGCCAAAAAAAAAAAAAATAAAAAAAATAAAATAAAATAAACAAATCAAATTAATAAAATACTAATACCAAAATGAATTAATTTATAAAATAATCATAAGCCGTTAATATTGAAAAAACAGTAACACAAAATTATAAATAAATGTTATGAAAATTGTAAACCACACTGAAACCTACATGTTCCAATTCTGACCTTCCCGCCTTTAACCCATAAAAAGATAAAATAAACAATCAATTTTTTTAAAATATACTTTCTTAATAAAATTTTATTGTTTATTAATAGAAAAGATGATTAACTTTTTTTAAAATAAAAAATTCAAGAATACGTGACAGTAACCTCCTGTAAACTAACCTTACACGTTTCCTGCCAGGCAAGGTTTTTAACAGGTATTTTTCTATTTTTTGGAAACATTTTCAAAAGACAAGAAAAGAGGTAAATAAACACAAATATAATTTATTTTAATAACGGAATTTTTTAAAAAGAAAATCTTTTTTTTTAATTAACAGGAAAATAGTAAGTAGCTAATTGTAACAAAGAATTTGTTTTTAACCCGTTTTTTTTTACCTGATAGAAAAGTTGTATCATCATTACAATTATGTAAAACATTCAACATCGTATGGTAGAACAGCACCAAAATAGTTCATGGTCAACAAATCTAGGGTTTTAACTGAGGATTGTAGGAAGAATTCCTCCTGTCATGACACATCTGATGATGAAGGGCCCGTTTATCCGATAAAAAAAGTTTTATATTTCAATATCATCGTATGGTACAACGTAATCAAAATTGTTTATTTCAACTTCCACCTCAACGTCATGAACGGAGATGTGTAGGAAAACACTCCTCTGATGACACATCTGACAATGATGGGTCTGTTCGTAAAATCCCCTCTAATCGCACCATCAAATCAGTTCTTATTATGGAATCTGAAAGTTCCATCATGATCACGATGACCTGTATCGCCTTATTCGGTGGTAATAACAAGGCAGAGAAAGCCTATCATCAGATCATTCACACTCTTTTTAGAAAACATCAATCATTTTAATCCTACAAGAAATATGTAATTTGGTCATACCGATCATTTTGTTCTGCCAGTTTGGTTTATCTGTAAGACTTTTTCAAGTCATAATTTAGTAACGATTGTAAAATTAATGTTTTTTTATGTTTCAGATATAATTTGTGTGACAGGCTTTTGTTTTTTAAATCTCATTCAACGATGGAGTTTGTATTGAATGAGAGAGTGAAGACGGTCAGACTGAAGACTATGAAATGCGGAACAGCAAGGAAAACACATGATAAAGTCGATTCCATCAGTTCGCTGCTCAAAGCGGAGGCAATGAAGTCAGGGACGAACCAGATAACGGCGAATAGATTATCGATTAAATTTGACAACAGAGTGAGCAAGAAGGACAGCGAGCTTGTTGTTGACTGTATGGCTGCCAAAGGAAAAAAAGCGAGGCAACAATTTCAAAATTTACTCGCCGAAATGCTCTGTACCGAACCGAACAACTTCTGGGCGCATTTCATAAACGCTGCTACCTGCCACCGCATACCCGAGAAGAAGGGCATAGTCGTCCAAGCGCTTGCTTGCTGCATCGCACTCAACCCAAACTTCAAAACCGCCTGGTCGAGCCTGTTCGAAATCTACAAAAAACAAGGCGGGTTATTCAAAAAGGACACATTCTGTGAAATGTTCCTGATCACTAAGGGTGTGCTTCTCATCGAGGAAGACTACGTAAAATGGACTATATACGCAACCGAGCTTTCAAAATACCTCATCTGGACTGAAAATTTAAAACAGCAGACAATAGTTTTTGACGTTTTCAAATTATTTCTCGATGATAAATGCACAGAAAAGATAAATTTTGCCTCTAAGGTGATTTTCTCTTTTACATATGAAAAAAGATTTTTAAAAGATCGTTCTAAAGAGATTTTAAAAGCTTGTAAACATCTGGCCTTGTTCTGCAAAGACGGGTTGACTTTTTTTCACATGGTTTCGAAAATCTTTTTGAAGAACGATGCTGCTGCTTACCTGTGCGACTTTATTGTATATATTTGTGAGAATGGCCTGTTGAAGCTTCCTTTCGACATCGCGCACGACTTCCCCGACCTGGTCGACCTGCTGTTTGAAAAGGTCGGGTGTTACTGCTTCGAAGCCGTGTCGAAACTGCTCAACTGCAAGGTGAAACAACGCTTCCTCCAGCCGTTCACGGCTCACACCCAGCCGTCCAACTATCTGAACCACCTGGCTTGCGGCAAATACAACAAACTTTCAAAATACCTTGGCAAGCAGAACCTAAACGCGTCCGACATCAGGAGGATCATGTATCACATAGCGATCAGCAGGCAGGGCTATTTTGAACGCCTTTTCAAAACCGTCCTACATGATTTGTTCAACATGGAAAAATCCGAGGTGAGGATGTTCAACTGGTACATAAGAAAACTAATAATACTCATGTGTAAAGTCAACGACGACATTATACAAAAACTAGGCGTTTCGTGCGCCTACAGATACATGGAGAAATACGGCTACAACAGCGAATTGCTTTATGCCGTTGCTTTAGCCAATATTTCCATATTCAACGATGCTGGAAACAGTGTTTTAAAATCCCTCTTAAAAACTGGCTGTGTCGAGCTAGTGATTTATTTAAAAACCATGTTCGAAAACGATTACGAACAGAGAGCAGATAATTTAAAATCAATCCCTATATCTTTAAATTATTACATTTTAAATATTAATTTAGCGATAAATCAGAAGAAGAGGAATAAAATCAAGCAGAATATGATAATGGCTTCTATGAGGATTAATTACCAGTCGATGCCGTTCGAATGGCTCGGACTGCATTATCTCGACGAGCCTTATAACCCGCAAAGGGCTTTGAATTATTTGGAAAGCGCCATTGAGATCAACCCATACTCGGCGGTCGCTGTGATCAACTTAGCCGACCTTATAAGGAAAGAGCTGGGCGAACAGGTCGGCAAGCTGTTCCTGAACTACATCAAGAACACCGAGATGGCATCTTCTTGGGCATTGGTCCCAATATGCTACAAAGCCGGCTACCTGTACTTATACAGGCCACAGTGCCATGCTGATTTTTTCTTGGCGGTCGAGCTCTTGAGGACGTGCTGTTTTAGACAGTTCAGAAACAAGGATTACAAGCAGATGGTCGCCGAGGCCTACCGGGAATACGGGATGCACATATCGAGCCTTGCATTTTTCAAAGAGTGCATCAAAGGTAAACAAGGCGTCGATATCTTTTCGCTTACGATGGGCGCCACTGAACTCGGCCACGCTAAAAAATACCACAGATTCATCGACGTATCGCGTCTTGCTTATTTTCTCGACACAAAAAACATCTTGACGATGTACACGTATGTAAGCGCAATCATCGAAAAATCATACAGCCTCTTTTGTGCGAACGACATAGTTTACGGGCTGTTTCTATCGCAGATGGGTATATTGATCGCATCAAGGGCTATAAGTTTGAAAACGGATTGCGTTATTATATGGAAAGCCCTCGGTGATCTTTTCTACCTTTGTGGCACCGCTTCTGAAAACATGGCCCAGGTATACGCCCCTTCATGGCTCTACAGGCGTAAAGACATCAAGAAAAAGATGTCCTGCCTGAATAAATACGAATGCTTGATTGCATCATTACGCTGTTACCATATAGGCTTGAAACATTCGGACGATTCTCTCTCTTCGGAATTCTGGTACAGCATCGGTTTTGTCAGCTATCACCTGGGACACCTCATGCCGGAGGAAAAGTTCAAATTATTAAATTACACTCGAAAATCAGCAGAACTGGCTATAAGCACATCTCTAACCTGGGAAAGCCTCAATATGCTCGGCGTCGTCCTTTACAATGGCAATCTCAAAGAGGAAAGCGTCAAATGTTTGGAATCGGCATTTAAATTTGGTTATAAGTCTTTTGCCAAAGAGCTAGAGATGAACCTAGGGTTCGTTTATCTATCGAAAGGCGACCTTCTTAAATCTTTCACCTCGTTTTTATACAGGAGGGGCTTCGACACACACGACAGCGAGATCTGGCCTTGTTTCGCCATGTTGAAAGCAGCCGCTGGAAAACCAACGGAAGGCCTGAATCACTTGATCTACCACCTTTACAACATCCACAGCGTACCTTCTATATCCGAGTGGTACTTCTTTATGAAAATCATTAACAACACGTGCCCAAATTTGAAAAACATACTCAACTACAGAAACATATACATGAGCAAGTACGAGAGCAACTTCTACGCGCTTATTTTTGAAAGGTCGAGGATACCACACAGAGTGAAAGACCTGACTGCACTCAACTACTTCATGATGGGTATGAATCAGTCGCAATATGCCAAAGACGACGGTAGATACGCGCTCGAGAATTTTTACAACTGCATCAAAATTCTTGCTTACGATTACACCCCGTGTGAAAGGTACTCGAGACTTCTTGAAGACACTTTAGAAGAAATAGGAGAAATACAAAACAAACATAGACTCGGTAGATATTTCCGTTATAGGAAACAGGGCGATGAGAATAAAGCGTACGAGGAAATACTCCAAGGTTTGAAGTGCGACGCAGAAAGGGACGATTTGTTTGCAATTCTGTTGTCGTACGATGTGCCAGTACCGGATGGCCTAAGGCAAGATTTCAAGACGTTCCTGCTCAAACAGATCAAAGGTGCTTTGACATTGAGAGAGAAACAGGCCCACTGGTTTTGGAGCGACGAAGCCTCTGTAGGTTATTCATACCTCAGCCATAAAGAACACTTGCACGACTTCTTGAAAAACGCTCACAAACAGACTTTCGCCAACTACAAGAAATATTTCACGTTTAAAAACACATGTTCAATTCCAATGTAGACCAAACTCAAATTATACCATATTTTATTATATTTAATATTTTTTAAAAATATATATTTATGTAAAATACTGTAAGTTATTTAATATTTTTTCGGTAAATTGACAATAATTTTAAAACAATTAAACAATTGTAAATATTATAACTTATTTAGTTTGTTCATCCTGTAGACAGATAAAAAATCACCAAAATTTTGTATTCCCCACTCAAATCCTTCAGATTATTTTAATTAATTTTACTAGTATTGCTTTTAAAGGAAGTCTTGTGTACAAAAAGCAGCTGGTTTAAGTGAAATGATGGAGAGTTTAAAGTATTTCTCAGAAGAAAAGAAATAGAGAGAATTAAATGGAATCTAATATCAAATAAATGAAGGATTTCTTTAAAAAGAAACTATCAGGGAAAATTGTTTTCTGAAAGTCTAATCAAAGAAAGGGCCTCATTTCAGCTGTATTTGACCATGGTACAGCATTTTTTCCAAAACGACTGGTACTTTCAGAAAAAGGACTTTTGTCCTAATGGGATCAGTGGCCATGTTTTAATTTATTTTTGCTTTAAAAGGAAGCCTTGTGTACAAAAAGACAGGTGATTTCAGTGAAATTATCAAGAGTTTAAAGTATTTCTCTGAAAGGCTGGCACTCACAGAAAAATATAGAGAAAATATAATTTTTAAAGTATTTCTCTGAAAGGCTGGCACTCACAGAAAAATATAGAAAAAATATAATTTTTATTCGGTAAGATTGATACTTTCAGCGAAAGGACACTTTGTTGCCATAATGGGATAGCGGTTTTAGTTCTTTTGACAGTATCGCTTTTATAGGAAGTCTTCTGTACAAAAAGTAAGTGCTTTCAGTGAAATGGTCGAGTTTAAAGTATTAAAGGCTGGCGCTGTCAGAGAAAGGTAGCTCCACTACTTTGCGGCTTTTTAGAACAAGAATTAAATGGAATGTAATAACGAATAAATGTTGAAAAAAGAAACTTTCAGAGAAACTTTCTTTTAAAGACTGGTCAAAAAAAGGCCTTCATTTCAACCTTATTTGACCAGTGGTACAAGATTTTTTTTAAAAGACTAGTACTTTCAGAAAATGTACTCTTTGTTGTCTTAATAGGATCAGTGCGATTTATTTCACCAGAATCGCTTTTGGATAAAAGGAAGTGTTGAATATAAAAGCGAAGTGTTTTTCATTGAAATGATAGAAAGTTTAAAGTATTTCTCCGAAATTTTGGCACTCTCAGAGTCAAGAATATTTCTATTGAATAAATAGAGGATTTTTCTCTAAAAGATACTTTCAAAGAAGGGATCCTTTTTATTCGGTGTTTTTAAATTTTAGATTCTTAGAGTAACTTATTTGAAAGTCTGGTAATATAAAGGGTTTTATTTTCAAGATTAGTGATATAAGCGACAAGCAGTACCACCACCTTTTGTATATCAGGGATTTAAGCAGGTTGAAAAAAAGAATCATAAAATCCCGACTCTGTTTTAAGAATATGACAAGCAAACGGCATGCAGATTTTAGGGATTTTTATAAAAAAAAGATCTGAATCATTCTGAAGTCGCTTGATGTTCATGCAACACCGCTTTTCATTTCAGCTGTTAAAACTGTCCCAAATTTTGTAAAATATCATTCCTAATTTATTCAGACAAAGCTTTTAAGTTGTAAGTGTAAAAATTCAGGACTTAAATTTAATTAGCTCGAGCTGTGAAAAATCGGCTCAACTTGAAAGTGGAAACTGTTCCGATTCTGATTACATATTGTCCTTACAACTTGGCATGATTTTTCTTTGTTAATCAATAAGTATTTAATATTTAAGTCGAACTGATTTCTTTTAATGAAATCTTTTATCATTAGGGAAACTGAATAATGAATGTCTTACCTTATTCTTATGGATGATGGAACATTGCGGTAATCATCTTGCTAACAAGAAAGCCGCATTTGGATTCCGTTCTTGGACCCTTCATCACAAAGTTTATGACTTGGACTGTCTCAAAGTACGGTGTGCAGTTAACCCACAAAAAAACTGGAGGGAAATTAAGAAAGAGGTTAAACTATTAAAAAAATGGTTATAAAAGAATTATATCAAGTTCAATAGAAAGGTTTTACAGTGATCCAGATATAAAATATTAAATGTTCAGATTATCCAAGTAATTTACCAGTTTTCAACACAGATTTTAGACGATTTGAGAGTAGAACGTTTCTTTTTAGTATATACTTAAGTTAAATGGCCATTTGCTTGGCCCTAAGAATAGGACATTGTAGACCTACCAATGGATTCTTCATGGCAACATACACTCAGGTTTAAAAAACTGTCGAGATCTTAACTGAATGTTTTTAATTGGGGATAAAGCTTTCTTCATTTTACTGAGGTATGACGTTATTTATCTTTAAAAAAAATCTAGAAAACAATGTAAAATTAATTACGGATACTCGACTCACTGGGAAACTTTAAGTCAAGCTTAAAAAATAAATGGTTTTGTAAGTTTTATCTTCAGCTTTAGTGCAAGTTCCGACTTGTAGCCCCTGACTCATTTCTTTGGCTCCTTTTATCAGATAATTTTTCCCTCCTTTTTACCTTTACCTCCTTACATCTTGCATTCTTCTGTACACCACCGTCAAGTCAACCTGCTTCCCCCAAACACAAGTTCCTCATCTAAGCATAAAATTTATGGTATTACTTTCCTCAATCTATCGGGAATCCACAATTTGAGTGAAATACAGCTGGTGAACCTGGGTTGTTTACAAAACCCGGATGTCAATGTAATTTTTTTTTTTTTAACTGCCCTTCGTTATTCTGTTCAATGTTAGAATACAGCGGTTTCGTGCCGTTGTAAACAAGAATAAATCCTGTTTCGCTTGTCTGAAAAGATAATATTTATATAAAAGAAAGACGGGAAAATAAATGGGTTTGAAAGGGGAAGAAACAAGAACGAAAGGTTAAATACAATTTTTTTTTAAATTCTACACTATTTTATTCAGCGTTGCTTTTTGTTTTTTTCCAAGCAAAAAAAAAAAAAAATCGATTACATCACAAAATTTTCCAAATACAGCGATTTATTTAAGGTAAAAGAAAACTCCTGTACAAAGGATGGGAAAATTTAAAATTTTAAACGTTGACAACTTACCGAAACGGTCGATTTTTCTCCCCCCCCCCCAGTTGATCATACCGCAAAAAAGAGAAAAAAACCTACATGACTAGCTACGGAAAAAATTATTTTAAACAATTTTCCTTAGATTTTTGATTTTTTTGTCTTAAAAACAAACTAAGAAATCAAAAATAAAGAGAGCAAGGTTTGCAAAATAAAAGAATATCACATCAAATTTAAATCTATAATGGAAAAATGAAAGATTTTCTAGTTTCAACCCCTTGTATTTAGAAAAATAATAAACAATCCCATTTGTTCTTTCGTTTTGTCCTATACCACACAGTTTTTTTTTAAATTTCGCATTGGCCTGAAACCCAACTTGATACACTCCCTATCAAAGAAATCGCAACAACTATAAATCACGAGATTTAAATAAAAGATCAGTTTTTCTCGGTTCCTTCCAGCCGGTTTTTACCTTTTGTTAACCCTGGGTGGCCATTTATTGCAATTTTCTTTACTCTATAATTTTTTTGTCATCACTCTACATCACTAATCTCCTCATGGTTAGTCAGTTTAAAGAGCTATAAAAATGCACAGGTAGAAAAAACGGCTAAATTTATACGAATACCATTTATTAAAGTGGAAACACAATTCAACAGCTTCTGATTAAAAACTTGCTGGTATTCTGAAAAATCTGGAGTCGACAGTTAGAAGAAAGGTCAAAAAGAAATCCGATCCGATAAGCCGTATTATTTGATGGAGCGAGTTGGAAATGACGTTTGGAAAAGGTTCTGTTTTCCGAGGATGAGGGGGAAGGATTTCTTGAAAGGCTTGTAGACATGATTCTAGATTGTGTAGTGCCTTTTATGATTTTCTTAAGACTATCATTGCTTATAATGATCGGGCCTTGAACTACTTTTAAGACAAGTTTCAGAGCTGGCTGAATTTCAGGAATGGTACTCAGAATAAATTTTTTTATAATGAATATGGCCAAAAAAAAAAATGGATGCAATCATTAAAGCCAGTGATTTTTGAGATTTTTTCTTGACTGGGAGTGTATTAAAAAAAATAAATAAATAAATAAAAATCCAACATGCTCAGATTATTTTTTAAAATTTTTTTTTACCCATCTAACATGATAAATACTGCATTACAACGTATAAATCCATTTTATTCTTTTTCCTTTTAAATATTTTTAATTCATATAGTTCTATGTTTTATTATACATACGTTCTAGTATTTATTATTTTTGATAATTCCCTTCACGCCACAGGTCTCGGCTTCAGGCCTTTGAAACACGGTTTACTCACTACCTCAATCCTGATTTATTAATTTTTTTCAATATTCAAAAGTGATTTTTTTTAAATAATGTTAACAGGGTCTGTTTCTTAAACGAAGCGGCTGAAAATATAAACCGTGGTTGTTTTGGTGCCTTTGAACAACACAATCATCAAAATACAAATAGTTTTAAAAAAACACTAGAAAATGAATTCAATGTTTTGAAATCTCTGAAATTGTAAATAAAAGATATATTTAAAAAAATTCTACGGATCTTTGAAATGAAAACGATTTGGAATAAATTTGATAAACGGACGCCACCTACATGCGCGTCTCAAAGAAGTAACTTTTAAGAAATGACAAACTTACAGGCGGAAGCTTGAGATCTTCATTTCATACCGGTTGAGATATCTGGCGTCTGACTAGGACGTGCTAGAGAGAAATATCCCGCACGCGACTCAGTCTGGCACCTGTGGCATTGAATGGTTGAAAAAGATAAAAGATTTAAAATAAAATCAACGAAGAAATAAAAAATTATGATTTTCTTTTAGAAAAATTACAATGAAAATTTAAGTTTATTTTTTATAACAATAAATTTTAACGTGGAAGACTGATTTCCTTTATCAAAATCTTTTTTTTTTATCAGGACGGAAAAGAAACAAATTTAGAACAATACAAAGGCACTAAATAAAAATTTACAAAAAAGAAAAAAAAAGAATCATTACTGATTAACAAATAATTTTTAAATGGTTAAACATTTACTTTGTTTCCTACATATAAAAATGTATTATATATTGTCCTACTATCTAGTCTAAATTTATTATTCGGTTTTTATCTTTCCGTCATAGCACCGCGGAAGGGGGGGGGATTGAATTAAAACAACAGGGGGTGGATTATTAACCCTTTAGCTACCGATTTAAAACATTTAATATAAAAAAGAAAAAATAATAATCCACACGTTCATTGGAAGTTCCATTTTGAAAGTTGTTAAAAGGTGTTTTTTTTTCTTTATACGAGGATATTTTAACTACGAGGTTGAACTCTCGGCACGTAAAAAGAAAATATCTCATTTGTATGTCCATTTTCAATTCAGGGATGGATTAACTTACACACGAGGATGGCTGCCGAAACATTAGTGAAGATAAGCAGGTCAAATTCGGTAATGACCAAATTTGAAGGTTGTTCACTTCGTAGACAACATTAAGAAAATGTCACGATTTGGAAAACTTTTTAAAAAGTTTTCTTTGCCTAAAAGTTCAAAACTCGCCGATTATCACCTTTAAAAAATGGAGCTTTTTATTTATTAATTTTTTTAATCACTAGCCTTCCGAACCACAGCTAAAAGGGTTAAAAAACAAAAAAAAACGGCTGGACGATTTTTGAAACTATTCCCCCCCTTAGAGAAATGAAGATTCAAATCGAGGCCGAATTCCATATCTCGAATACCCTATAAAAAAATCTAACTTAAAATTTTTTCCCTTACAAAATGAAAAACAAATATTTCATTATATCGAAAGGAAAAAAAAAAAAATTGCACACACAGACACACACATGAAAAATACAGCCGACTTATCACATATCAAAATCCAATCCTTCATCGTAAGACAGAATTAAAAACAAAATTTAAAAAACCGGAAGCCCGAGGACGATTGAAAAAAAAATTGTTACGATGATTTAAAAAATAAAAATTTAAAAAGCCAGGTACCTAACGATGCCATTTGTTACAAAATCTCCCTTCCTTCGTATACTTATTATCATTTTAATATATAATAATGTTAATATTAACTCTTATAAATATATATTTTATTTAATAAAAAAAAGTTTTAAAAGGGAAAACTCATGCGCCGCCCCACAGATTTTCACCTCTTTTCTTTCTAAAAGCTAAGGCGATAAAAATCTACATAATTTTTTTGTGTGTTTTTGTGAGTATTAATAGGCCTTTAGGGCGGGTAGAGAGACAAATAAAAAATAAAATAAAATAAAAAAATTGAAATAATTTTTTTATCTTTTGAACTATACGGGCAGAAATAACACCAGACTAGCCGAACTATTCTAGGCACAGATGGGTCTTTATTTTTTTTCTTTTGTTTTTTAAATCTAATTTTACGTTAATAGGCACTACTGTTAACGCTACCGATATAAATTTTCTCTCTCGCTATATTCAATTGTTGTATATAGAAAGAAAAAAAAAAAAAAAATCACCACGACAATTTGGACGTAATGCCCTCATCGAATGACGATTTATTACACGGACAGCATGACAAATATAATTAATTCAGTTCAATAGTATTTCAATTTTTTCCCCCAAAATTTAATTGCTATCACGGTAAATTCAAAATTGAAAAATTTATTATTTAACTCATCGTTGTGTATTTTAATTTTTTTATGCATATAATCTTTTGTTTAAAAAAATCACAATTCTACATTGTATTGTATTTCATTATTTTTTTGTATTTAGGTCTAAGGTCTACTAGGTCCTAAAGATTTATTTAAAATCGCCTAAAAAATTATTGTGATTCTTTTTTGTTTTAATTATTAAGATATAATTAATTAATTAGTTTGAATTAACCATCCGACACATTCAAATTTAAAAAATCAACATTTAACATTTAAAAAATTTAACAATTAATAATAAAATTAACATTAAAAAAAGCATATTTTGTTTGTTCTCTTTGATTGTTACGATTTTTAAAACAGTGATGTTAAGACTTAACGGTGCTTTTTTTTTCCTTTTTAATTTTTAATCACCAATGTGCTTCTTGTAGTGGCGGACTAGTTCTTGTTTTGTCACGAATCTTGCCGCGCACACATCACAGATGTAAGGCCTCACTTGAGAGTGTTTCCTTTGAAAATGCTCCATCAGGTTGACCTGGAATATTTATTTTGTTATTGTTTAAAAAGAAAAAAAAAATTGATTTTAAAAATTATATACCTTGTGTCTAAAAGACTTATCACAAACAGAACAGACGAACGGCCTGACGCCAGTGTGTATCGTCGAATGTACCTCGAGGCTGCCCCTTGTCGCAAAGTTTTTCATACAGACCGTACATTTGAACTCTGGCCTGCCTTTGCCTGTAGGACGTCGAGCGTCTTGCTCCTGGGCGTCTTCGGATGATTGAGGTTCAGCCTGGATGGCCACGGCGGCCGGCTGGGCATCCGCCTGGGTGCATATATGCGCCTCGCCTTCGACTACGTGTGAAGCGCACTGGCCGCACTTGGCCAGCGTGACTTCGCAACCCTCAGACATCTTGTGCTTCTGGAAAGCCGGGAAGGACTTGAACGGCCTGTTGCAGAGGTCGCACGATAGGAACGTGTCCATCGTGTGCGTCTTCTGGTGGCGAAGGAGCTTGTCAACCTGCGTGAAGCCTTTGTTGCAGATCTGGCAGACGTGCGGCCTGAGGGCCGTGTTGTGAACGGCCTTGTGTCGGCTCAAAGCAGATGAAAACGAATATGACTTGTTGCACTGCCTACACTTGAAGAGTTTATCTCCACCGCGGCACCTTCTCGATTTTACTTGCGCCTGTTCCTGTATCTGCGGTAACAATATCGCCCCGTTATCTTGTTTAACTGTAGAATCCTGTGCGATCGTTGCTATCGGGTACAAAGGTGGGGCAACCAAGTTGAATTCGTTATGAATTTGTTCGACATAACCTCCATTCAAATTCTTTAAAAAAAAATAAATAAATAAAAAAATACATTAATTTTTTTAAATTTTTTTCTTACATTTTCTTCGGAATCTTCTTTAATAATGACCTCAGGCGTGAATTTGTTCATATCCCAGGGCTCGCCCTCTAGAGACTCCGTGTCCGAGCTCTGTTCCGACTTCAGACTGGCTCGTAGGGCCGAGTCCGAACGTTCGCAGAGTAGTTTGAACTGGTAGGACCGGTCGACCTGGTTCAGGCAACTGGCGCAGACGCTGTTTGGTAGGCCGTCACCTTCGGCCAGCTTCACCTGGGCGCAGGACATGATTCGGTGAGGGAGGGACGCCTCACCGTGCGCCGGTTGCGAGGCGCCGACTCCGAATATCGGACACATCACCTCCTCCCCCTTGAGGCAGAGCCTGCATACTTTTGACAAGTCGATTCCTTCCATTCCTTTAAAAACAAAAGAAAATAATTCGGACTCGTTTGACAACTTTAACATTACTAATTCCAAATATATAAAATCTTGAACTAGAATCACACTGAAAGGCTACTAGGGGAAGAAAAAAGAACGTTTAAAACTGTATTGAAAGAATCAAAACCTAAAAGACCTAATTATCTGTTTTAGGGGGTTTTGGAAGGATCTTTCTCTGACAGTTCCAGCCTTCAAACTCTTTAAAATAGTATTCTCTTCCCTTTAACCTCTAGGAGATCCAACTGGGGACACTAAAAGTACCTGCCTGGCAGAAAAATCAAAAAAACCGAATCCTGACTAGTGAGGTCGGGTGCTCTGCCTTGCTCGGCTAATTGTCGATTTCCTTGTCCACTTTGATTGCACAAATATTCATTCGCAAAGTAGCCCAACTCAAAGCATCCACACATTTGGGAATCAAATGTACTGTACATAAATCAATTGTACTCATTAATGAACTATTATTTTATTATTATTTTTTTTTTTTATAATAAACGATTCCTAACTATATAGATGTATTAATGAAAGAACAATATAGGATTGTTTCTATTGGTTAACAATGGACTGGCCCGACACAACAGTCTTGGAGTTCATCGATCAATTTGAACCAAAAATTTTAAAAGCTTCTCTTCCGAATCGCAAAAATCAGAAAGAGTTAGACTAGTGGAAACGGATCAAAAGTAAAGCCACGTACCCACTGGGTAGCACTCCACGATCCTGTAACCACTTCAAGTGGAGGCGAGGCCACAAACACGGTCACTCTGCAAGAGATCCGCAGTGTTCACCCGAACGTGGAAGGATAAAAATGTCGTCCGAGATAGTGGCTAGTGCAGCATATACATTCATCCACTATTTGGCTAAAGATTATAGAAATTGGTGAGCAAATTTTTATAAAAAGAGAGCTGACCATGACTTTCTGTTGGACCTAAAATCGCAAGAATTAAGCGTCACTACAAGAATTATTTTACGAATGACTTCCTCTACTTTGAAGATCTTTTAAAATTGGTAGCACCAGCACAAAAAAAAAAAAAAAAAAAAAAAAAAGTTCTGAGATGCTATATCGGCTCAGGGTAAGCTCGCCAAGAGCGGTAGACACTGCATTCCCCTTTGAGTTCGCCCAAAAACCAACAGCCATTGGAACTGTTACACACTCCGATCGCAGAAGCACACACACACTAAAGACAAACCTGGTTTGCCATTGGTTCGCAAACATAGTGGGTACGCAGCTTAAGATCAGTGACTGATTTGTGACCGAGTCAGTAGCCATTACACAAAACAGTAACCTCAGCTTCACAATTGCCCACCTCGAATCATTGCAAGCTGAGGAGCTGTTTCTGCACGGACTGTGTTGGCAAACGGCCAAAATATTCGGCGAATACCGGATGCCTGGAGCTGCCTTAAAGAGAAAACCTTCAGAGCCTGGTTGCAAACTGATACAAGCTGGAAACCCTTTTAAAAACTCATCTGAATCAAACCACAACAAGCATAGGATGGTTACGATAGCACACAGCGCGGCTTTCAAGTTCTTTGCCTACTAGAACGAATGATACTAGGACCATAACCATACTGCAAACAAATATTCTTTACATCAGTATCAGAAAATGCCCACTACATTCTGTCACCAGCTAACACCGTAGCATACCATGCACGTTCAGTCAACAATTTGCTGCCGAGAATATTTTGCAGGCCCGCTCCGTGTATGACACATCCGGTCTACTGCATTGCTGTCCCGTTCCACACTAATTCATTTACGATTTTTCCGTACAATTCATTAAATTTGAAGGATGTCCTGCGAAAATATTGGAGAAACTTTTCTTCATCATCAATTAGGTGCCTATACAACGTCCAATATTCGCTCTCAGTTTTTTGATTTCGAAGAGATTCATGAATCCAGAGGCGTCTTTTTTTTTTTTTTTTTTTGTATTTCTTTTCCTTGTCCAAAATAATGGCAATCAGGCAATCATTGCCAATTCTCATATAGATAATTTTCTAATAGCCGTATTCTATTTAACAAAATTCCCTCCACACCCGAAAACAAAAGTTCACAAACGACGTGCCACTAATTTCATAAAACAAAAGAAATGTACAACAGCGACTGAAGCAGGACGGCTACAAAATGGTTTTTATTTATTTATTTATTACATCAACGGCAAGCAGCCAATTTTACAACAGTACATATACTTCAATTAATTAAGGTTTTTCGTTGAGATAAAAAAAGTCAGTGTCACGAGCGGGATTCGAACCCACGACCTTCGGCTTATACACCACTACTCTAACCACTTGAGCTATCATGACTTTGATCCACTCAGGTACTACTGCACTTCCCATCTCAACACCACCATTTTGAATTTTCCCTCCTTTTTGCCATTTTTCAACACACATACTCAAAGTATGTGGAGTTACACAGCTTTAATTTTGATAAGAGAAGAACAGAATAAGTCCAGATCACTATTTACGTTATTAGCTTTAGGACATATTCTAGGAATGGGAGCATTTTTTAGGTAGTTGTTTTACAAACTGGTATAAAGAATGGAGGAGTGAATCTGGTACATTAAAATATATCTTCTCTAACAATTCAGGACAACTAATCATATTCCTTAGAAGTTTTATAAGAAAAACAATATCAATCTACGATCTTCTAATGAACTAATGTTCAGTACATTTCTAAGAGTTTCATAGAAATCCGACTAGAATTTAGACCAAGTTTGTAAGAACAGTATTTAAGAAATTTGTTTTGAACAGATTTAAGTCTATATATATAAGTATGATAATAAGGTGACCACACTACTGAGCTAAACTCTAAGATTGGCCTTATCAGAGTAAAAAACAATATTTTTAGTCAAAATATACTGTTAAAGTCCTGCGTATTTCTTTTCAAGAAACTAAGTAGTTTCAAACATGTATTAATAGATTCAATATGCAGACTAAAAGAAAGAGAGAAATCAAAAGATACACCTAGGTCCTTCATATTATTTAAAGCTATTAGTTCTAAATCATAGACATTATAGTTAAATTGTAATGGACTAAGTTTCTTATGATAATGGTCAACATTGCATTTATCAATATTAAAGTCATATAATTTAGATCACACCATCTGACTTGATTATGTCTTGTTGTAACATTTAACAGTCTTCAATAAATTATTTTAAATACTTTGAGATCGTCCTCGAACAACTTAAATTGACTATTTGTAAAATACTTAACAATATCATTAACAAATATATTAAATAACAAAGGCGCCACCTTGTGGAATACCAGAGGTGACAGATATTGGTTCAGATTCCATAGTATCTATCTTTACAATTTGAGTTCTGTTAATCAGAAAATCTCTCAACAATTCCAGCAGGCCCCCTTGAATACCAATCGCTTCTAGCTTAGAGCAGAGAAGTTCATGGTTAACTTTATCAAAAGCTTTGCTGAAGTCAGTATAAATGACGTCGACCTGGCATGCAGTTTCAAAAGTTTCGAGTATGCTATGCTGTTAAGTTAACAGCAGTGCTTACACAGTTACCCCTTGCAGTGGGCATGTAGTGACAAGAGCGGTTATTTTTTTTCGTGCCTGACACGGTCCTAGTATGATACGTTCTACTGGGCAAAGACCTTAAATCTGATTTGACCTTGAGGAAAATGAAAACTGTCCAATCGTGTATTTTATTTATTAGATTTAATTGATCAGATTAAAGATTGATACTTTAAGATGTTTTTTTCGTGTTAATGGTGTGTATAATAATGGTTTAAATACCTTTATTTTGAGAACGTTCTCTCCATTTTTTTTTCTTTCTGTTTTTTTGTCAAATGATCTGTTATTCACCGGTTATTTTCTTCCGTAGTTCGCCTCCCGTTCCATCTAAAAGATGAGAGGAAAAACGAGATGAAATTTGATAAGTTGTCTTAGGCAGGGTAGAGAGGAGAGAAAATGTAAGTAAAAACTCGGCCTTTTTTCCATGTTAAAAATGATCCACAAGGTCATCCGAGATTGATTTTTCCATCCTCTCCCCCGGCCGGAATTTGCATGCGGGGGATTTTAATTATAATTATGAATCGGGTGGGTTAAAATAATAATAACAATAATAATAATAAAATTTTAAAAAATGTTCCTGGCGGCGGGTCCGGGAGAGCCGAGCTCTTCAAGAGTACCAGGGCATCGCCCGGCGTCCCGGGATCTCAATCCGCCGGCCTCGCCTGTCAGAGAAAACCACTCACTTCTTTCGATTTCCTTAGGGCCGTCCGCCGATCCCTGTCCTCTCCCTCGGCGATTAACAAACATGTAATCCGCCGGTTCTGTCGGGGTAAAAAAAAATCCGTGATGGAAAAAAGGTTATAAAACAATAAGGCGCGTTATTTAAAAAAAAAAACTCCCGATTTTCGTAAGGGAAAATTCGGTGTAAACTTATCCGCGCCCGTTTGGCACCCCCGGGGCGGTCTTTTCCTCCCGGTGTTAACGAGGCGTCGATACGCAAAAAAACCTCGGCGGGGACGAAAAAAAAAGTGGGAAAAAAGGAGAAAAAAACCCACCAAGAGGTTTAACTCCTGCTAAAACTCCATTTTATTTAATGAGAAAAATGATAGACCGCGCTACCGATTTTCAAGGTTGGACGGGCCAAAGGGTAGCGGAGGGTTTCCCTCCACCAAGGGAAAAACGCCCTTCTGGAACTGGAGGGAAAATTCTGGAAAAGGTGACCCTGAGAAGGCCATTGGTCGTCGGAACTTCTGGACGGGGTTTTTTCCCCGGTTGTCCAGAGCGTTCCGGGTCCTCCGCACGCAGCACTACAAAGCGCGGGACTTTCAAACCCTTGCTTTCAGAAAAATGGATATCCCCTGGAAAACAAGAAGGGTAAAGCACATCATGAATCGTTATATATTATTTATTACACTAATAAGCAAAAAATTCCACCCATTTATAATATAACTTACTAATTAATCTATGAAAGACATTGTTGAACGCAACTTTAACCTGAAAAAGCATACTGGGATGGCACTAATAGATGTTGAAAAGGCACACTGTATCTGGCACAGGAATCTGTTTTTATTTTAATTCAAGCGAATTTTCCCAAGTACTTTACTCTATAAAAAGCAACTTAGATAATAGAAAATTCCATATAGTAAAGCTTTTTCATCAGTGAGATCTATCTCAGCTGGAGTACCTCAGGCATCCGTCCTGGGACCTATTTTATTTAACATATAAAATAATGTAACTAAAACGAAAACTAAATGTAATTATGCATTGTACGCAGATGATTCAGCAATCTTTACCTCGTCATATAGAATGGATACCATTGCCAATCATATCTCCACTTAAGAAATGCTTCAAACACTTTCTCAAATGGCAAATTAGACCCAATGAAACTAAAATCAAAATTATATTGTTTACTAAACGTAGGCCAAACGTCAATAAATTTCTTGCAAACAGCAGAATACTCCTTGGAAAAAAAAGAATTAAAATACTAGGGATAATTTTGGATTCAAAGTAGCATGTTAATAAAGTGAGTGACAAGGGATTGGGTATAATTTAGAGTTTATTCCCTCTTTTAAACAAGATGTCAAAGCTTAGCGGAGCAAATAAAAGAAATGTAATTTATTATCTTTACATTAGATCAGTATTACTGTATGTAGCTTCGGTATGGTCAAACATGTATAATACTATTTTAAGTTACATACAGTCCAAAACAAGTTTCTAAGGTTGATTGGTTTTCTTTCCTAATTGGACTCCAATAGATTTTTTACATTCCACATTAAACTTTTCCAGTGCATCAACATAAGTATTACTAAATGTTTTGTTTCCTCCTGTGTAAAAATAGTCGCCCATGTATTAAAACTATTGTAAACTATGTCACTAATCTTCTGTGGCATAGGAACGCACACTACTAACGAGTATGTCAGACAGAAGGACAAAAAGAAAATGAAGGAACAATGGAATTCATTCATTGGACACAGGCAATCTTAAATTTCGCAAGAAAAGAAATTATGTGCCAGAGGAAGCAGGGATAAACTGCGAATCCTAATAGGATTGTTAACAGGACACTGCAATCTATTCCAGTGCCTCAACACAAGTTTACAGTATTACTAAATGTTTTGTTTCCTCCTGTGTAAATAATAGTCGCCTGCATATTAAAACTATCGTAAACTATATGTCACTAATCTTCACACTAAAAGAAGGTTGGAATAATCCAAGACATATGCCGATTCTGCAAAGAGGAAGAGGAGACACCAACACATCTATTAACAAACTGCAGTGCTGCACTTGCCCACAGGAGGAAGTGTTTTGGTGACACAACAACAACAAACAATGTGACCAAAGAAGAGATTCAACCACTGAAACCAGGCCTGTTAATCAAGTTGAAATAGAACTCACCGATGTGCTTTAGGCAGAGAACGGGGGATACAATAGCTCTTAAACGGTGCAGTATATTACACCCCGACTATTACATCTACATCTGTCACTGCAATACAAAAGATAAACTGACAGGCAAAAAATTCCACCCACTTGTAATATAACTTGATTTGTATGTATTTACGCTCGTTTGGTAAGGGTGGTATGAAATGAAGGTTAAGGTAAAATTGGGGGGGGGGGAATTATCCCTAGGATATTTATGCTTATTTGCTATTTCGATGGGCGCACCTTTGAAGTTCCAAGCCTGCCGCCTTTTTTTTTAAAACCATCGTTTTGGACTTGCTGAGATTTACTGAAAGATTCCAGTTGTCAGAGTACGCCCCCAACACATTGATATTTTTTTGCATTGTAGTTGGCGAGTTGGCCAGGATTACATCATCAGCGTATAGTAGAATCTGTACTATGGTCTTTCCACAGTGAATTCCATATTCCAAATAATCAGGGAGATAATCCAGGAAGAGTGATGTCCATAATTAATTTTCTAGATTTTTTTACATAAAAGTCAATCTTTAATAAATAGAAGAATTTTTTTACCTCAAATTGAAAACATTCCGTTAAAATCTGATGTTAAATCTATTGGTAAGCCTACACTGTCCTATTCTTAGGCCCAAGTGTTTAACCTCAAAAAGAAACATTCTACTCACAATTTGTCTGAAATCTGCGTTGAAAACTTGTAAATTACTTGTATAATCTGAACATTTAATATTTTATATCTGGATCATTATTTAACCTTTTATATTGAACTTGATATAATTCTTTTATAACCATTTTTTAATAGTTTAACCTCTTTCTTAATTTCCCTCCAGTTTTGCGAGTTAACCTCACGCCATTCTATGAGACAGTTCAAGTCGTGAACTTTGTGATGAAATGTCCAGGAACAGAATCTGAATGCGGCTGTCCTGTTAGCGAGACGATTACCGCAATGTTCCATCATTCGTACGAATAAGGTAAGACGTTCACTTTTCAAAGTTTCCCTAATGATAGAAAGATTTCCTTAAGGGAAATTGGTTAATCCGAGCCAGGAGAGTTTCTACATCCAAGTTGAGCTGATTTTTCATATGCTGAGTTAATTAAATTTAAGTTCTGAATTCTTACACTTAAAAGCTTTGACTGAATAAATAGGAGCGATATTTTACCAAATTTGGGACAGTTTTAACAGCTAAAAACAAAAGCGGTGTTTCATGAACATCGAGCGACTTCAGAACGATTCGGAAGATTTTTTTAAATAAAAATCCCTTAATTTGATAGATTTTCTGAAATCTGTGGGCTGTTTGCCTGTTGTATTCTTAACACAGAGAGTTGGGATTTTATGATACTTTTTGTTTTCAAATTCAGTCAGTGCCTCAACCTGCTTAAAACCCTCATATACACAAGGTGGTGGTACTGCTTGTCGCTTATACCACTAATTGTGAAATAAAACCTGACATTCAAATAATTTACTCTAAGAATCTAAAATTTCAAATTTAAAATCACCGAATAAAAAGGATCTTTTCTTTGAAAGTATCTTTTAGAGAAAATCCTCTATTTATTCAATAGAAATATTCTTGACTCCGAAAGCACCAGAATCTCAGAGAAATCCTCCTCATTTCAATGGAAAACACAGCTTTTACTGAACACTTCCTTTTATCCACAAGCTATACTGGCAAAATAAATCACAACAATCGCACTGATCCTACTAGGACAACAAAGAGTCCATTTTCTGAAAGTACCAATCTTTTAGAAAAAATCTAATAAGGCTGAAATGAAGCCCTTTCTTCGACCAGACTTTCAAAAAACAAGTTTTCTCTGAAAGTTTATTTTTAAAGAAATCTTCCATTTATTCGATATTACATTCCATTTAATTCTAGTATTAAAAAAACAAAAAACAAAGTGATGGAGCTACATTTTCTCTGAGAGCGCCAGCCTTTCAGAGAAATACTTTTAAACTCTAGGTCATTTCACTGAAAGCACCTGCTTTTTGTTCAGAAGACTTCCTATAAAAGGGATACTGGCAAAAAAAATTAAAACAGCGCAGATCCCATTATGACAACCAAATGTCCTTTCTCTGAAAGTACCAGTCTTACCGAATAGAAAGTTTATTTTCTCTTAAAGTATCTTTTAGAGGAATCCTACATTTATTCAACAGTGATTCTTGCCATAAAAAAAGAAAGTGAGGAATCTAATTTCCTTCAAAAGAAAAAAAAACACACAATGCCACTGATCGCATTAGGACAAAAGAATCCTTTGACTGAAAGTACCAATCTTTTGGAGAAAAAAATCCTGTACCAATGGTCAAATACGGCTGAAATGAGGCCCTTTCTTTGATTAGACTTTCAGAAAACAAGCTTTCTCTGAAAGTTTCTTATTAAAGAAATCCTCTATTTATACGATATTACATGACATTTAAATATTGCACTAAAAAAAGCAAAGTGAGGGAATCTATCTTTCTCCGAGAGCACCAGCCTTTTGGAGAAATACTTTAACTCTTGATAATTTCACTGAAAGCACCTGTGGTACATCAGACTTTCTTTAAAGGCAAAAATAAATTAAAACAATGCCACTCATCCCATTAGGACAACGGAGAGTACTTTCTCTGAAAGTATCGGTCTTTTTGGAAAAATCCTGGAAAGAAAATAAATAGATATTTTCTTTAAAATTATATTTACAGTTTTCTTTTTAATGGAAAATAAAAATTACTTTTGGTTACTTACAATTGTCGAAAATGTTCAAAAAATGACAATAGAAAAATAAATCATTCGCAATATTTACAAATAGTCTGCCAAAGTTGGTTACAGCTGACGTACTGCTTGTTGCCAACGATTATGTTAAGAACCCTTGCCCTGCTCAGCGCCACATTCATTTTATTCCGTTCTGTAATAAACTCTGGGAGTCCTCTGCTTATGTCCCTCGAGCTCCGTACGATCGAGAATATCATCACGTCCCTCTCCGCGCCCTGGAACTCCTCGACCGAGCCCACCTTGGGCGAGTAGACGTTGAGGCTCTCGAGCCTTTTTGATATCATTTTCGACTGGAGGGCATAAGGTGTTATGATCCCAATCTGATCAGGCGTGACCACTTCGTACAGCTCATTGAGCAAGAGCAAAATCTTGGCTATCTCCGCCCTGTTGAAGTACGACCAACTGTCTTTCACCTGTTCCTCGACACCTTCAACGTCGATAAAAACCAAAGATTTATTCACCAAATGTACATTTTCAAGTGTGATCTTTCTAAGAAGATCCGCTTCGATGCTCTCGTCATTTAAGTAAGGCTTTAATTCACCTTGGTAAAAAATATCACTAGTCATTTTTACAAGTTTAGGCAGGGCTCTGTAGTTGATGACGAGTTGGGTCATAATCCTTCTATCGTAGCCGAGCGTGTCTGGGTGCTTTTCGATGTCTTTCGAATAAGGTTTCATCCTTGATAATCTCGCCAGGAAGGAATCCTTGAAACCGAACATCCTGGAAAGCCTGGACATGACTACGGGCCCAAGCTGATTCGGATCGCCTGCGAGTATGAACTGCGCATTTTCCTTGTCAAGGAACGACAACGGGATCAGCGTCTCCGGCTCTGTCGCCTGGCCTGCTTCGTCAACGATCACATGTGTGAAATACCCGCCTGGGAACCCGATCGCGCTCAGCGTACCGATACACTGCATCGTACCCAGAGTCACTTTGTGCACTCCTATGTTATTCCTTGTAACAATCGGTACGGGTTCTTTATTCGGGATCTCTTCAAAAAGGGAAGGCACGTACGATGCGTCGATAAGGCTCGACGATATTGAACCAAGCCTGAAAGGGCTGTAACTACAAAGCCTTATTAAATCCTCTTTGGTCAATCCGGCTTCTAAGAGTTTAACACCGATTAAATCAATCGCTGAGTTAGTCGGCGCTACGACCATTAAACGAGACAAAGGGTCTTGACATAATTGTAAAATCAACTCGACAACCGTGACCGTCTTCCCCGTTCCAGGTGGTCCGCATATAATATAAGGATAAGTTTTATTTTTCTGCGAAAGTATCGATTCAACGGCCCTCTTCTGTTCTCCATTCAGCAAAGAATTATACCAAATTTTAACACAAGGCGGTTCAAAAGCGTCGGAGGTTAGAACAGTAGGAAATACTCGTCTGAGCAGGTCGTATTTGTAAACAGCGTCGACCGCGAAATGCCTCTTCCTCATAGGTGTCCTGTTCAGTATAAACTCAACAGTGTAGCAAGCCCCTTGTCTATAATCATTCATGAATTCGTCATGGAGCTTTAAAATTATCTGAGAAGGGAGTACGTCCCAGATCTTCCCCTCGTAACGCTTCTCCGCATCCCATGGTTTAGAGACGATCACCGAATCCCCAGGCATGAGATTTGAATAAGGCGAGTCGGCCTCGTATACGAGATATACGGTATCGTCCTTGGGATAAAGGCAGAAATCTTTAGTCAAAAGTTTCACATCGTTGACGCACTTGGCTTCTTCTAAAAACAAAAGCGTATGCATTTTATCGACGTAATTGTCTTTGTTTAGCTCTGGTATGAGGCAAGGGTGCATTTCCATTACCTTCTGCATAGCTGCTAGGTCTTCTCGTACGACGACGTCCACCAGGCCAGACGGCAATGCGTAAACCTTCATCTTTACATTTACATACTTTGGTATTGTAAACTTATTCCTGCCGGGTAGTGTCAATCTAATTTTATTCTTTAAACTCGTTTCATCTATTGTTTCATAGCGGATCGTACGTCGTATTTTTATATGGTTGAACGTCCAGTTGAGAGTGGCTGACGTGTTACCAGGTTTTTTACCAAGACAGAGTATTGTGTATGTGGCAACACCTCCCGGAAGGATTTGATTTTCAGGCTCGCTGACCATCCTGACATCGTCCATCGAAAACAACTCGACGTGTCCGACTTCCAAGCTGTCCTTCGAACAATTCGTAACCTTCAAGTCGACATATTTGCTCTCGCCGAGCTTCAGTTTGAAAAAAGGCATTATTGATATTTCAACTTTCTTCCTGCTGTTTTTGTAAAGGAGTGTTATACCGATGGCCCTGTAGGGATGATCCGAGCATTCCAACGCCGTGCAGAATACGGAGGAACGGACCGCAGGCGTGAACCCGACGCAGTCACTTTTTGTAAAGAAGATCTCACCGGCTATGAAACCAGTTTCGCTCGTCTTGTCGTATTCAGTGATCAGGCCTGTCACGAATCGACTCGATTTGGGAGAGATTCGCTCGACCATGCAACATCCTTCGGCAAACCGCCCCTCCAGAGAGACATAATCTCCGACCATGGGCTTGAAATCAGCAATGACGGATGACATGTCAAACTCATAACCGCCTGACACACGACACAGACCGTTCTCGATTGAAACCACCTTACCGTCTACGTTCCTGTCGTCTTGCCCAGCTCGCCTCACCTCCCTGATCTCTACGTTGCCGAATGAGTGGCACACCTTGAAAACCACCCTGTCTCCGATGCGGAACCTGTCAGTTTCCAGGGGGAAAACATAGGAATGGTCGATTTCGGCCGAATTGCAAGCAACGTAAGTTATCACCCCTGTCCTTTCCAACTGGTCCTTCTTCCTGGAAGCGTAGTAATCTCGGACTATGTCATCCTCTTCCTCAACAGGGCTGGGAGGACGGCCGAAAAGGCCGGCCAACGCCGAGGTCAAAGTTTCCAACATCGTTCAAACAAAACCCTGAAACCTTTAAAAATACAATTAAAAAATTTCCACTCAATCATAAAAATAATGTGTAATTACATAAAATCGTGTTTTATCATCTTTTCACCCAGATTTTTACCTCTACAGTCAACCGGCACATGAACCGTGTCACAATGATAAAAGAGTCAAAACAGGTGAATCGTTCTTTTACCCTAGCGGTCTTTTCTTCCGTCAAACCCTCAAATTTCTTCCATTCTCACCCTTTAACAAAAAAATTAATAACTAATTATATTTTTAAAAAAATTAAAGAACAGCATTACTAGAAAAATAAACTGAAATAAACGCCATTCTTGGCGGAGTCGTTCGTTCTTTCCCGACCGACCGACTGTGTCAGAAGTGATAAAAGATCCGCTCACTTTCCCGCATTTTTTTCAAAAATTAAACAACATAAACTATAGTTATTCAGATATCGTGAGATGCGGTCGGGTATGATGTAGGTTTCAGAAAAACATTTTCTTTATCTTGCCAACGTTTCGATCTTTTATTGAGATCATCTCAATAAAAGATCGAAACGTTGGCACGATAAAGAAAATGTTTTTCTGAAACCTACATCACACCCGACCGCATCTCACGATATCTGAATAACTATCGATTAACAGTCACTAATCTCTAACACAACATAAACTATTATTACAAGAAAAAAAAATTAAAAAAGCAGGTAAATAAGAGTTCAAGAGGAGCCTTGAGACACAGCGGAAGCAGCCAGGTATGTTGCGGTGAAAGAAACATTATGATCTGGTTAGGGTTAAATAGTCCTCTCTATGCTACCTCGACCAATATTGGTAAAGTTTAAACTTAGGTGGTTTTACCAGATCTATTATCCACCAGGCCTTATCCTTTCCCAGGAATAAGAATCCTCTGTACCTTATGAATGCCAAAACTTCATAGGTTCAGCAGTTCTGCGATGGCCCTTTGACCCGTTGGCCTATGGATCTGTGTTTCTGGGGAATCGGCCTCCTACTTGCCTTTTATGCCTTGGTCCTACTGGCCTTTGATGGATTTTACTTGCTTTTATGACAGCAGCTTTACCTTTCAGCTTTACCTTGAATGCTTTACTAGTCATAATTATCTCAGAAGCTCTTATAACATCCAGCAATCCTGGATACAACCCAACTCTACCAACTCATCTTACATTCCCAGGACCTACATCGTCTTACCATTCTGTTACCAGCTTAACTTTTCTAACCTGTACCAATAATTTTGATGGCAGATACTCCTATAAAATCCAACAACCCCTTCTAACCTCTACCAACCAACCTTTACCTTACTAGGACTTCGTGGTCCTATCGTCCTGATTCTAACACTTCTAATGCTTTTTTAGTCCTTATTATCTTAAGAGCACCTATAACATCCTGCAACCCAACATTCCTTAACCCCTACCCTACCAACTCATCTTACAAGGACTTTCTTCTTTGTCCTACCGCCCTGACAACATCGTAACCTTCCTAACACCTGCGAGTCATTCTTAGAAGTAAGGATCAACCGCTTAACCTAACTCTACTAACATTTAGTAGTAAATTTTAAGAAAAAAAAAAAAACCCGGCAAGATCTGGAGAACACAGGTATCCTTGACAAATCTTTCGGAATTGGACAGCTTAACGAAAAGCTTTACGCATTGGAGATAGGTTTAATCTTTTAAGTGCAAAAAAAGCGTAGAAAAAAAAACTAGATCGCATCTAAAAATAAAAATGTGAGATAGCACCGGACTATTCTTAGATTTATCTTAGGTTTTTTGTCCGTTATTTCGCAACAGGCGATAAATCCGATCGATAAATAAAATAGCAATATTTGACTATTGAAACAAGAAAGTTTTTAATATTTAAAAATATGTAGAAATATAGAAAAAGGGTTAACATTTTTTAAACAATTTTCCTATTGTGTGGATTGTTTTTATCGGTTGCATTTTTAAAAAAAATATAAAACAGTAAATCTTGTCGTCCTTGGATACAGGTATATAAGAAAAGGAAAGGCACGTAATGAAAAATCCATTTTTTACGATCCTGGTCGTAAAATGAAATAAACAGAAGAAGAAGAAAAAGAAAAAAAATCCCCGTGACCGTCATTTTCCCCCAGGCATGTCCCACTGTACGTCCTTGGGGTTCGCGTGGCGTTTGACATTTTCCATATTCCTCGCCACTTTCTTATGCCTCATCTCGACCGGTTTTTTCCTCCTCTGCCACTATTTTCAGACTTATTCGATGTAAACAATTTAAATAAGAGAAAAAGTGGAATTTCGAATCGAAACGGGCAAGGGAACGTATTCATACGTCCTCGGGGTCCCCCCACCGTAAGGAAACCGGACTGCGACAAGGTCGCCAGGCCCTGGTCACCAACCGTTCCGACAAGGCGAAACCTCGTCCGGCAGAAGAGGTACTAATCACCATAGGAGACTCAGCAATTCAGCATACATCATGCTGTACAGGAGATTCGGCCTTATTCTCAAAGGAGGTTGTCGAATCTTCGACCCGGCCAAGGTGAGTTTTCTCTATTTTTTTTGTTTTGTTTAATCTCAAATTTCCAATTACATAATTTTTCAATTTGGCCTGTTATCGTTCATAAAATTTAATTAATTGTAGACCATCGATCCTCCACCAGATGCCGTTTTATACTTAATAGATTATAATTTTGACTTGTTAAAAAAATAAGTACGTAATAAGTTCGTGTATGTCGAGGACTTCTGTATTCTAAGGTTCTGGCAAATTTCTGTCCCAACCACTTCAAATCTGAGGAACTGCGATCTCTCAGGATTATACTTAACCTGTAAAGTTGTGTAAAGAGTCACAATCAGAAAAAGTCAAGACCTCTGTCAATAGTCAATATCAGAAAGAGAGAGAGAGAGAGGGAGAGTTGAGGCCTAAGAAAAGAGACAAGATCAGAGATAGACTTGAGTAAAAAGAGGCGAGATTAGGGAGCGTAGACCTGAGTCTAGATAAGGAAGCGTCAAGACATGAGTAGAGAATCAACATTGGAGGGAGTGGAGACCTGAGACAAGGGTCAAGATCAGGGAGAGTCAAGAAGTAAGTAAAGGGTCAAGATCTGAAAGAGACCTGATAACTAAGTAAAGAGTCAAGATCAGGAAGAGTCGAGAAGTAAGTAAAGAGTCATGATCAGGGAGAGCCGAGAAGTAAGTAAAGAGTCATGATCAGGAAGAGCCGAGAAGTAAGAGTCAAGATCAGGGAGTGTCAAGAAGTAAGTAAAGGGTCAAGATCTGAGAGAGACCTGATAACTAAGTAAAGAGTCAAGATCAGGAAGAGTCGAGAAGAAAGAGTCAAGATCAGGGAGTGTCAAGAAGTAAGTAAAGGGTCAAGATCTGAGAGAGACCTGATAACTAAGTAAAGAGTCAAGATCAGGAAGAGTCGAGAAGAAAGAGTCAAGATCAGGGAGTGTCAAGAAGTAAGTAAAGGGTCAAGATCTGAGAGAGACCTGATAACTAAGTAAAGAGTCAAGATCAGGAAGAGTCGAGAAGAAAGAGTCAAGATCAGGGAGTGTCAAGAAGTAAGTAAAGGGTCAAGATCTGAGAGAGACCTGATAACTAAGTAAAGAGTCAAGATCAGGAAGAGTCGAGAAGAAAGAGTCAAGATCAGGGAGTGTCAAGAAGTAAGTAAAGGGTCAAGATCTGAGAGAGACCTGATAACTAAGTAAAGAGTCAAGATCAGGAAGAGTCGAGAAGAAAGAGTCAAGATCAGGGAGTGTCAAGAAGTAAGTAAAGGGTCAAGATCTGAGAGAGACCTGATAACTAAGTAAAGAGTCAAGATCAGGAAGAGTCGAGAAGAAAGAGTCAAGATCAGGGAGTGTCAAGAAGTAAGTAAAGGGTCAAGATCTGAGAGAGACCTGATAACTAAGTAAAGAGTCAAGATCAGGAAGAGTCGAGAAGAAAGAGTCAAGATCAGGGAGTGTCAAGAAGTAAGTAAAGGGTCAAGATCTGAGAGAGACCTGATAACTAAGTAAAGAGTCAAGATCAGGAAGAGTCGAGAAGAAAGAGTCAAGATCAGGGAGTGTCAAGAAGTAAGTAAAGGGTCAAGATCTGAGAGAGACCTGATAACTAAGTAAAGAGTCAAGATCAGGAAGNTCAGGGAGAATCGAGAGTGAATAAAGACTCAACATCAGGGAGGTCAATGAGAGTAAAGAGTCAAGATCAGGGAGAGATAACAGCTGAGTCACAATTCGAGATTAGGGAGGTTCAAGAGCAGGGAGAGTAGACCTGAATCAAGATAGAAAGCATAAGTAGAGAATCAACATCGGAGAGAGTCGAGACCTGAATCAAGAGTTGACCCTGAGTGAAGAGTCGAGACCAGGAAAGTTGAGAGCTGAGTTAGAGGGATCGAGACCCAAGTAAAAAGTCAAAACCTCAGTAGAGTCGAGACCTAAGCAAAGAGTTAAGATCAGAAAGAGTCGAGACCAGACATAAAGTCAAGACCAAGGGGAGACTATCTGAGTAATGAGTCGAGATCAGAAAATGTCGATACTTAAGTGACATGGATAAAGGTGGCAGGATGAGTGTGGCTGCTGTTTGTTTTAAGTACACCAGTGATGCTAAGTCGTGTTAATTTTTTTGTACTAATTCCTATTTGGACATAATAAGCCAACTGGTTAGCCAGTAGGTTGTAGGTATATTTATTATTTACCTTGTTTAGTTAATAGATTTATATAAATATTGTGCCCTCTGGAATAGAAGCTTTAATGGGTTTGAAATTTCAGGTGGCAAGATGTTCGTATTCGTCAATAATATCACCGTTGTCTCCACATGAGGTCCAGGAGAGGAGGATACGCAGTAGCAAAAAGGTCTTCGAGAGTGCTGTTGAGGCTGTCAAAGACATACCGAATGGCGCAACCATCCTTTTCGGTGGGTTCGGACTGTGCGGGATACCGGAAAACCTGATCGCCGCTCTCCTTGAGGTTGGCACGAAGGACCTGACCATCGTGAGCAACAACGCCGGTGTGGCGGACTTCGGACTTGGCCTGCTGTTGAAAGAGCACCGGGTGAAGAAGGTGATTGCATCGTATGTCGGGGAAAACAGCGAGCTCGAACGGCAGTTCCTCCAGGGCGAGCTGGAAATGGAACTGACACCGCAGGTTTGTAATTTACTTTTTGAATGTAAGCTGATCATTCAAATGTTCTACCATCAGATCATGACTTTTTGTTCACTCTTGATTTCCCTGAACTTGACTCTTTCATTTGTTCTTTACTCTCACTTATCTTGACTCTTTCACCTGTTCTCAACTCTCCCTGATCTTGACTCATTCATCTGTTTTTGTCTCTCCCTGATCTTGACTCATTCATCTGTTTTTGTCTCTCCCTGATCTTGACTCTTTACATACTTCTCGGCTTTTCCTGATCATGACTCTTTACTTACTTCTCGGCTCTCCCTGATCTTGACTCTTTACTTTTCAACTCTCCCTTATCTTGACTCTTTCACCTGTTCTCGACTCTCCCTGATCTTGACTCATTCATCTGTTTTTGTCTCTCCCTTATCTTGACTCTTTCACCTGTTCTCGACTTACCTGAACTTGTCTCTTTCATTTGTTCTCGACTCTCCCTGATCTTGACTCTTTCACCTGTTCTCGACTCTCCCTGATCTTGACTCTTTCATCTGTTTTTGTCTCTCCCTGATCTTGACTCTTTACTTACTTCTCAGCTCTCCCTGATCTTGACTCTTTACTTTTCAACCTCCCTAATCTTGTCTCTTCATCTGTTCTCGACTCTCCCTGATCTTGACTTTTTACTTACTTCTCGACACTCCCTGATCTTAACTCTTTCACCTTTTCTAAACTCTCCCTAAGCTTGACTCTTTACTTACTTCTCGACTCTCCCTGATTTTGACTCATTCAGCTGTTTTTGACTCTCCCTGATCTTGTCTCTTTACTTACTTCCCGACTCTCCCTGATCTTGACTCGTATTTACTTCTCGACTCTACCTGATCTCAACTCTTCACGTACTTCTCGACTCTCCCTTATCTTGACTCTTTCACCTGCTCTCGACTTACCTGAACTTGACTCTTTTTTCTGTTCTTGACTCTCCCTGATCTTACTCTTTGTTCACTTTTAACTCTCTCAGAGTTTGACTTCTTACTCAGTTCTCAAGTTATGGCTCGGCTCTCCCTGCTCATGACTATTTACTGATATCTCGATGATCTAGCTTTAGTTTCTGTGGTGGGCTTTTAACAAACTTTTTACCTGTGCCCTTGATTAAATCAACTGTTCATAAAAAAAATTCTTACTAATTTTTTTCCAGGGCACCCTGGCGGAAAGGATACGAGCCGGTGGTGCTGGCATTCCGGCTTTCTTCACACCGACGGCGTTTGGTACGCTCGTGCAAGAAGGTGGCGCACCTCTCAAATACGGCCCTGGCGGGAAAGGAATTGAAAAATCAAGCAGCAGGCGAGAGACAAGGGTAAGTTTATTATTTCTAATGCTTATTTTATTTATTATTGTAATGTATTTTTTTTATAGCAATTTGAAGGTAAAAACTATGTGATGGAGACGGCAATCACAGCTGATTGGGCTTTGATCAAAGGTTATCAGTGCGACCACGAGGGAAATACTATTTTTAGGTATGTTTTAAAAAATAAATTTTCATAAATTAAAAAAAAAAAAAAATTGATTTTTGTTTTAAAGGATGTCGGCAAGGAATTTCAACCCGGTGATGGGCAGGGCAGCCAAGAAGACGATAGTCGAATGCGAGGAGGTCCACCCAACAGGGAAAATCTCGCCAGACGCTGTTCACCTCCCGGGAATATTCGTGAACAGGATCATCAAAGGAAAATCGTACCAGAAACGAATCGAGGTAAAACGTTTATAACCTCTATACAAATTTAAATTAAAAAAAAAAAATTTTTTTAGAAAGTCACTGTACAGAAGAAAACCTCTTCGGCGGTCGTTGAAACTCCAGCGGCCAAGATGCGGCAGAGGATAATCAAGAGGGCCGCTCTTGAATTCAAGGACGGCATGTACGGTATCCTTCAAAACGCAGAAATTTTTTTTGTAAATTCCGTCTTAAAAAAAAAATCCTTAACCCATTAAAAAAAACAACAGCCAACTTAGGAATAGGAATTCCAATGTTGGCGTCGAATTACATTCCGAAGGGGATCAAGGTGATACTCCAGTCTGAAAACGGAATTCTAGGCCTTGGTGCAGCGCCCGAAACGCGCGAAGAGTGCGACCCAGATCTGATAAACGCCGGTAAAGAAACAGTCACTGTGCTCCCTGGCGCGAGCTTTTTTGGATCGGAAGAGAGCTTTGCCATGATACGAGGGTATGTTGAATTAAAAAAAAAAAAAAAAAAACACTAAAAAAAGTTATTTATTGTTCATATCCTCAGAGGACATTTAGATCTGACAATTCTTGGCGCGATGGAAGTCTCGAGATATGGTGACCTGGCAAACTGGATGATCCCCGTATTATTATTATTGTCATTTTTTTTTACTTGATAAAATTGATTTATGAATTTTTATCCATAGGGGAAATTGGTCAAAGGTATGGGAGGAGCGATGGACCTCGTAGCGGCACCAGGTACAAAGGTTGTCATCGTAATGGAACACAATTCGAAAGAGGGCGGTTTCAAAATCGTCGAAGAGTGTAAATTGCCTCTCACCGGTAAAAACGTCGTCGATATGATCATCACCGAGAAGGTAAAAATTGCGAATAAACTCATTAAAAAAATAAATAAATTAATTTAAAAAAAATAAATAAAATAAAATAAATAAAATAAAAATAAATAAATCAATCATCTGCAGGCTGTTTTCAACGTGCATCCCGAGGATGGCCTGACACTCATCGAGCTGGCCGAAGGCGTCGAACTCCCCGAGCTGATTACGACGACTGGATGCGAATTCAGAGTCGCGGAAAATTTGAAGAAGATGCAACAGATTGATTGTTGAATGGGACGGATCGTCAGAAAACCCGTCTCGCTAGTCGGTTCTTTTTTTACCCCTCTTTTATTCACAATACAAATTAAAAGACTGACTGTTTTATTTAGGTCGACTTTGGCTTTTGAGAACGTTCTACCGAAACCTCATCCCCAATTGGTATATTTTTTTATTATGTAAATAAGATAACTATAAAAAATGTTGAAAATTTTGTTATAATAAAAATTCCAGTTAAAGTTCAAAATAAGATGACTAATCCTTGAAAAAAGAAAAAAAAGTGTATTTATACGTGTATACATGGATATGAAACCTGTCTGTGCTCCATTTAAACAAGAGGATGAACTTGACATAAATGTCGTGACAGGTAAGTTCTATAAAATAATGTTTATTAAAAAAAAAAAGGCTCATAAAAAATATAAAATGACCAAAATAAACAGTTGATGTTAACTGTTTTCGATGATAAGAAATAAAAGTTTGACTATCTAAGAACTTGAAAATGTGATTTGGAGGAAAATATTGGATGTTTCTAGCAATAGAATGTGTCGATCGAATCCAATTGACAAATCATGGTCTTAACCTTTACTCGTGTATTAACTCTTGACTTACGTCTCGACTCTTTCTGTTCTTGACTCTACTCAGCTTTCGACTCTCCCTAATTTTATAATCTCCCTGATCTAGAATCTTTTCTCACTTCTCGACTTTACTTGATATTGATTCATTAGTTATTCTCCACTCTCTTTGATTGAGAATCTTTACTCATTTCTTGACTTTAGTTCACGACGCTCCCTGATCTTGACTTAGTTCTTGACTCTTTACTCACTTCTCGACTTTACTTGATCTTGACTCTTTAATTAGTTCACGACTTTTCCTTATCTTGTCTCTCAGCTCTTGACCCTCCTTGATCTTGACTCTGCTCAACACAGATATCCCTGATCTTGATTCTTTAATTAGTTCTCGACTCTCCCTGATCTAGACTACTCACTTCTTGACTTTACCTGATCTTGACTCTACTCACTTCTCGACTTTACCTGATCTTGACTCTACTCACTTCTCGACTTTACCTGATCTTGACTCTACTCACTTCTCGACTTTACCTGATCTTGATTCTACTCACTTCTCGACTTTACCTGATCTTGGCTCTACTCACTTTTTGACTTTACCTGATCTTGACTCTACTCACTTCTCGACTTTACCTGATCTTGGCTCTACTCACTTCTTGACTTTACCTGATCTTGACTCTACTCACTTCTCGACTTTACCTGATCTTGATTAGTTCTCAACTCAACCTGATCTAGAATCTTCACTCACTTCTTGACTTTACTTAGCTTGACTCTAATTAGTTCACAACTCTCCCTGATCTATACTCTCGCTACTTGCTGGTTTTGGCTCTCCCTGTTCTTGACTTAGTTCTCGACTCTACTCACTTCTTGACTTTACTTAGCTTGACTCTAATTAGTTCACGACTGTCCCTGATCTTGACTCTTAACTCACTTATCGGCTTTACCTGATCTTGACTCTCCTCACTTGACTTTACCTGATCTTGATTCTTTAGTTCTTGACTCTCCCTGATCGAGAATCTTTACTCTTTCTCGACTTTATTTAGCTTGACTCTAATTAGTTCACGACTCTCCCTGATCTATACTCTCACTGGTTTCGGCTCTCCCTGTTCTTGACTTAGTTCTCGACTCTAGTCACTTCTTGACTTTACGTGATCTTGACTCTTAACTCACTTCTCGACTTTACCTGATCTTGACTCTCCTCACTTCTCGACTTTACCTGATCGAGAATCTTTATTCATTTCTCGACTTTACTTAGCTTGACTCTAATTAGTTCACGACTCTCCCTGATCTTTTCTCTCAGCTCTTTACTCTACTCAACTCTCCCTGATTTTGACTCTTTACTTAATCTCGACTCTCTGATTGTGACTATTTATTCAGCTCTCGACTCTCTCTGATCTTAACTCTTTGCTTACATTCCGTCTCTCCTTGATCCTTCACTTAAGTCTCGACTGTTATTTGATCTCAACCCAGTACTCTTCCTTGTTTCTTTTCCGCATTCCTGATCTTTACCGATTTCATTTTCCGATTCCTCCTCCTTTATATCGACCCCCAAAACAATAGTTTGTGGAAGGAAAATCAAACTCATGAGGACTGAGGTTCATAGTCCTTGCTAGGGAGGGCCGTGACCCCTTGTTTGTTTTAATTTAATTTAATTACCGATCGGTCTGCCTATCCTCTTTGGGTTGAAGGTTGAAACATACCTGATAGACCAACCCAGCGAGTATAGGCAGACCAAATTAAAATGTAAGAAAATAGGGAACATAAACTTTTTGAATATATGTATAATTTTATTTACAAGCATTTGGGAAAATTTGAGTAATAAATTACAAAGAAACGCGATATCTGAGAGGATTTACAAACGTTCAAACATTTGGGGATTTTTTTTGTTTTTTAAATTAAATAAAATAATGTAAACTAAACCTAAATTGATAAAAAAACAAAACTTGGTGTAGAAACTTTTCTCTCTCTTTGATACGGTTTTAAATTAAAACAAAAATAATTTAAAAAAAGGAAAGAAAAGAAAAAGTATCAATTTCGATCGTGGTTCGGTGGTTTCCGTCCGGCCCTCGCGTCCGTCACAGCGCCCCACATCTCGATTATCATGTCGTCCGAGAAGCCGAAGTCGGCCAGATCTGAGCTGTCAATCGCCTCAGCAAAGTCCATCGAGTTGCTCTTCCCCTCGGCGGCCTCCCAGATTCTCGTAGCTGGAAAATTGTATAATTTAAACAATCGGACCTGACGAATTTTCCAGCATGAAACCGGCCAAAATTACCTAGTTCATTATCATTGATACCCATGAAATTCTCCAGGTTTTTATTTATACTTTCGATTCCCATGAGCATTTCTTTGTCAGGCTGTTAAACAACAAATTAAATCTCACATGTAGACAATAAAATAATTTAATATTAACTGTTTATACCTCTTCTACAATTTGTGCCTGGCCGTTGGCCTTAAACCTAAGCGTCTCCTTGCCGCTCCCGTAGCCTTTTTTACGACTCTTATGGTTCCCCCTTGCATCGATATTAACTGGAAAAATAATTTTAAAAATTTTTTTTTTTTTGAAAGATGCTTTTTACAAAAAAAAACCACTCACTGAACCCGGCTTTAATCGGTTCGACGAGCCTGATCATAAACGTAGACCCCATCGGGATCTCTTTGAGCATCTTGGCCACCTCGAAGTGCCTCCTTCCGACGAGGTTGACCGAGTCTATCTTCTCGATGTGATCCCCTACCTGTAAAAAAAATCTGTTCTTGACTCAAAACCTGAATAGAGTCTAGAACTTGAGAAAGAGTCAAAATCAAGGAGAGTCGAGAAAGTGTTAAGAGACGAGATCAGTAGAGTTGAAAGCTGAGTAAAGAGTCATGCTCCAAGAGAGTCGAATCCAGTTAAAGACCTGGGTGAAGAGTCAACTTCAGAGTCGAGACCTGAGTAAAGAGTCAAGATCAACAATAGTGAAGATCTGAGAATCAAGACCTAGGTCGACTATCTCTGATCTTTACTCAACTCAGTCCTCAACTTGCCCTGATTTATTTCCTCTCTATTCTTCCTTGGCTACCCTGATTAGATCTCGACTCTTTCCTCATTTTGCGATGCCTTCTGATGGTCTCTAGTCTTCTTGGTCTCGGTTCTCTCAGATCGTGATTCGTTACTTAATTGATGTCGATAAATAAAAATAAAAAGTGGAGAGCTTAGTAGGGCCAAGATCTGAGTGAATCTAGACTAAGAAGAGTGGAAGAAGAATCTAGACCTGAGAGAAGATTGGATGGTGAAGAGACCTAAGTAAAGAGTGAAGATTTAGATGGATTTAGATTTAAAACTTGAGTCAACTATCTCAGATTTTTACTCTATTCAACTCATTACATTAAAATAAATCTCAGGTAAAAAAATTCAAACTAAACATTGAATCAGTTCTCAACTCGCCCTGATTTTTTTTCTATCTATCCAATCTTGGCTCTTGACTCATTCTGACATTAATCTAGACTCAGTTTGGACTCTTTAGTTTTACTTCTCGGCAACTTCTAAGTAACATTTCAAGATACGAAAGAATCGAGACAGAAAGTAGAGTCAATATCAGAAGATATATATCTTGTCTCAAGTCTCTTCTCTTTCTGATCTGAAAGAGTTCAGATCTTGAAATTTTACTTAGGAGTTTGAGACCTGAGTCAAAATAAGGGAGAGTCGAGTAAAGAATCAAGATACAGGGAGAGTTTACTCTTTACTTAGGTCTACACTCTTTACTCAGACGGGGGCAACTTGAGAGCTTAGTAAAGATTTTCCTCAGCTTTTTCTGATTTTGACTTTATCTGGTCTAGATTCTCTCAGATCTTGACTCAGCTGTCAACTCGACCTGATCCTGACTCTCCCTCTCTTCGACTATTTTTAGTTTACAACATCCACTAAGTAAAGAGTCAAGATCTGAGGGAAGAGTTGAGATTTGAGTAAAGATTATATATCTTCCGATCTTGACTCTTCCCGGTCTCGATTCACTCATTTCAAGTGGGATAGTCAAGACCAGGAAGAGTAAAGACCTTAGCCAAGATGAAAAAGTGTCGAGAACCGAGTAGAATCTAGATCTGAATAAATTTCAAGAACTGAGAGTTGAGAAGCGAGTAAAGAGTCCAGATTAGAAAGCACCGAGAACCTGAGGAAAAAAACATCTAGTCTTCACTCAGGTCTCTAATCTTTCTGGTTCACTAGATTCACTCAAATCGCGACCTTACTCAACTCTGCCCGATCTCGACTCACCCTTTCCTCTTTATTGCTATCTGTTGACATCCCCTAAGAAAAAATTCAAGATCTGAGGGAGACGAGAACCAAGGAAATAGTCTAGATTTGAGTAAAGAATGGAGACCCAAATAAATCAGAGAAATTCTGAATAAATACCAAGATCTGAGAGATAAGGTGCAAGTAAAGAGTCCAGATCAGGGCGAGTTGAGAGATGAGTAAGATCTTCTGACTCTTCCTGGTCTCGATTCACTCAGATCGAAAGGGAGAGTCAAGACCAGGAAGAGTAAAGACCTTACTCAAGATCAGGGAGACTTGTGAACTGAAATAGAGTCAAAATTCATAGGTTTTCCCTTCAGATTCTCTACTCTCTCTGATCTTGCCTATTCACTCAACTTTCAATTCTCACTGATCTTGACTCTTTCCTTAAGTATACACTCTTTACTCTGTTCTTGACACTTTCTGATCTTGACAAAGTTCTCTACTACTCTTCCTGGTCTCAACTCTCCTTCTCGATCTAAGTGAACCGAGACCAGAAAGCGTTGTGAGAACCTGAGGTCAAAATCAAGATCAGACAGTCTTTTTCCTTTATGACGTTTATTCAGTTGTTAAAAAGTAAAATAAATACTCGAGACCCGCCTAGAGTCGACTCTATCTATTCTCAACTCTTACGCAGTCCTCGGCTCTGTCAAGTCTTAACTCTACTCAGGTTTCAAGTTTTAACTCTCCATCTTGTTACTTTACTCAGGTTTCTCGATGCTTTCTGATCTCTTTGTGGTCTCGATTTTCGTTAAAGTCGAACAAATACCTGTATATACTCGATCTTGTCGATTATACTCCCTTCCTTGATCCTCTTGATGAAAGAAAGCCCGTTGCCGTTGTCGGTGATGGTCAGGCCGAGCGAATCTTCGCTTTTCGTTATCGTTATCTCTTTTGGGCGACCTGAAAAAGAATTTTTGTTGAAAAAAAAAAAAAAAAAAAAAAAAACTAATTTATTATCCTATTTTTTTTACCTTTTCTATGGGCGAATATGAAGTCTTCGAGTCCAATTTGACCACCTAGCAGCTTTGTCATGTCGATCTTGTGCGTGTTAAGCGTACAGAACAGAATCTAGAAAAATAAATTGGATTAATATTTTTTTGTGTTTATATATATATTTTTTTAAGGTGATTTTTTATGAATAAAAAGACGAGTTTTCGTTTTTAAAAATGATATATTTTTTATTTATATATTCACATTTTTTTTTCTTTGTAAGTGCTTTTTTTCTGTTTGTTTTTTTTTTTTTGTTATAAATCCCTCCAGGAAGTCCGTTCTTCTGCGACTTTACACAGGAGGGGGTGTCGTATTTGTAAATATTCGCTAAAAAAACACACAAAAAAAATTCTACGGCTTTTATTTATATTTTAAGGCCAAAGTGCATGTTTTTTTTTTTTCAAAAAAAGTTTTTATTAACTATTTTATTTACATTGGAAGTTTTATTTTTAACATAATTTATTATGTACATATAACTTTTTTTGTTTATAGAGGAGGATAGGGGGAAAGAAGGTGTTTTATGATTTTCTTGCGTAAGGGAGGAAAAAAAGACTAGAAAAAAATGTATATAAAGGGAAAGTAGTCGAAGTTAAGAGGGTCGGTGTCATACGTCTAAGAAGTCTTTTAACAAAGTCGTACGCCTTTTTTCTGCTATGTCGATCTGGTTTTCCAGGTCGCCCCTGTCTGTCGTTTCGGCTCGTTCGATTTTCCATGACAAGTTTTCTATCTCGGCCTCGAGCTGCGCCTGCTGGTATTCGAAAAGCTCCTTCCTCGAACCTGCGTCCATGTAGTAGGCGTACGGGTACGTGTACTGCAGGGTGTATCGACACTTGGCGAGAAGCGACGCCGCGTCTATGAGATACTGCCAGTCTATCCATGTCCCGCTTGAAGTCATCACCTTCGCGTTTATCCTCGATTTGATCTTCTCGAGTGTTTCCGCTTCGAGTTTGAGAGATTTTGAATGGTTCTCCCAACGCTCGTAGTAATGGAGGTATTTCTTGAGCGCCTCCCTCGCCTGGGCATGTGCCGATTCGTTAACCACATTCGGGTTCTCCTTGTACCTCGAACACTCGTAATACTCAGAACCGTGCGATTTCCAGTCGCCTAGGCACATCCAGCAGAAATCGTGCTTACAGTTATAACACTGCATATGATTGCAGCCTCCGTTTTTCTCTATACATATGTGACACCTAGGGCAGTCTTTTGTATGCGCTGATATATAGTTGGCTGTTTCGGAATCGTCAGCGCATTTTGTGAGCCATTTTCTGATCGTGGCGCAGTCAGTCGGGGCGTGGTATTCCGTGCCGCATCGGAAGCAGCAGGTCGTTTTGCAGTTGATGCACGAGACTCGTTTCGCCTTGGGTTCTTTCGACCTGAACACGATCTTGCAATTCGGTCCGGGACAGAAGCGCAGCTCAGGATGAGACTTGACGTAATCTCTAAAAGCGAACTCCTGATATTTCTCCCTCAGGGGCATTTTTGTAAGTAGGGAAAGTACGAAGTCCTCGGGGGCGAGGAGGCCGCAGTCATGCGCCATGCAGGATATACCGGTCGAAACTCCCTGCTGTATCTGAACCTCGAAATGTGTCGACCAGCACTCGTTGCAGAACAGATGAGCGCAGGCCAGGCTCGAGAACTTCTCGGGTAGGGCTGGCACGAAGCAGACCGGGCAGCGGAGCTTCTGGCCCAGAAGTTCGATCCTCGGCCTCCCCCCGGACGCGTACCTCGCCCAGTCGTTGTTCTTGTACGCCAGGGCCGACGGAACCACGGCCCATTCGTGCGTATGCAAAACGACTTTCGCCAGGCTGGGCGTAATCCTCAGGTCGTCGCTCAACGCTTCGACGGATTCGTTGAGCAACCTCTCCACCTCCTCGACACACAGACACTCGTAGTTAAAATGCTCCGGGTCGTCGTTCACGTCCTTCTCCTCGATATCACAGTCGTCCATGTTGTAATAGGCATCGTAATCCTCGTCCGAGTAGTACATGCCCGAATCCTCTTCTCCGCTCATCCTCGCTGCCGTTAGAACATCACAGGCCAAGGGGAAACGCCGATAAATAACAATAACATTGGTGAAAACAGGGCCGACACTTTTAGCACCTTTGGGTAACCTAGCTTCACGACTGAACACTGACTGACAGCAGCGCCACGGCCTTCTCTAAGACGCTTTCACCAGATCGCCACATCGACTTTTTTCCTCCACGGGTCGACGATTCGAGTCAAAATTCAAAACTGAAATAAGGACAGACGAAAAAACCCACTGGATAAAAGCCGTAAGTTAAAAAATTCGGCGCAATTAACCATTTCGTCCTTGAAAATAACGTCAGCCCGTTTTTTTATATTTTGCCCCTACTTTTCAAACCGTCTTTCTAAATTAAAAAAAAAAAAAAAACAATAAAAATACTTTTTCTTTTCTCTTCAAATCAACCCTGACATTGTTTTAAAAACACTCGTATAATATTAATAATATATTTGATTTATTTTAAAACGTCGAAATTTCTTAGAGTATAAATTTTTTTTAAATCTGATAAAATAGTTATAAAACGGTCAAAAAGTAGGTTGCACAGAGGTTATCACACTCGTTAAAAGCTAGTATGTATTGGAATTTTCCACTCTATAAGAATTATTTATTTAAAAGGATTTAATTAACGTTTAAACAAATGTAAAGTAAAAAACACTAATGTATGAAACAACAGTGTGTGAAAATAATATTTAAAACTGGTAAATAATTTTAAAAAAAGGTTGCACAAGGGTTATGACACTGTAAAAGCTGGTATGTATTGCAATTTTTCACTTTATAAGATTTATTTATTTAAACGAATTGAATTAACATATTAAATAAATATAAAGTAAAAAAACACTAACGTATGAAACATACAGTATGTGAAAATAATATTTACAACTGGTAAATAATTAAAAAGAAGAAGGTTGCACGAGGGTTATCACACTATATAAAAGGTGGTATTCATTACATTTTTCCAATCTGTAAGATTTATTTATTTAAACGAATTGAATTAACATATTAAATGAATATAAAGTAAAAAAAAAACCACCAATGTGTGAAATACACAGTGCATGAAAATGATATTTAAAACTGTTAAACACATTTTTTTTCAAGTAGGTTGGCACACAGGTTATCCCACTTAATAAAAGCTGGCATGTATTGCATTTTTCCATTCTATAAGATTTATTTATTTAAACGAATTCAATTAATATATTAAATAATTACAAAGTAAAAGGAAAAATATACTAATGTATTAATCACACTATATATGAAATTATATCCAATAAGAAGTTTAAACCAGAATCTTTAAAAGTAGGTTGCACTCAGGTTATCCCAACCAATGAAACGTTTGTATTGTATTTTTACACTCTATAAGATTTATTTATTTAAAAACGAATTCAATAAATATATTAAATAAATACAAAGTAAAGAAATAAAAAAAAAAGATAAAAAGTTTTCCTAGGGTTCCACTACTTATAATCTATTTATTATAAGCCCCGTGACTTAAATATATTTTTTAAACTTTTTTCTTTACTTGTGAGCTTCAAATGGGTTTTCCGTCTGAAAGGTAGGTTATGCAATGGTTATACGTCGGAAATATCGCCAGAAACCACAGTAAAATTCTATTCTGAAATCTACAATAGTTACGAAATTTCAGGGTAGAAACCAAATTAAAACCAAAATTAGAAACTGGAAGCAAATTTAAAATCAACTACAGGCTACAAACTGACGAAATAGACTTTCGATGCTAAAATCTCACGTAAAATTGACTTTTGAAGCTGTAAAACTACTTTAATCTCATTTCTTAAACTAGCAACCATAGTAAAATTAAAAATTTGTTGCCTGTGTCTTAATGTTTAAAAAGTATAAATTCGCTTTTTCACATCCTAAATGTATTTGTTAAATGTAAACAATGTTTGTAAATTCCAGGTCCTAAAGGTGATCTCAATAAAGATCGAAACGTTGGCACGATAAAGAAAATGTCTTTCTGAAACCTACATCACACCAGACCGCATCTCACGATCTCTGAATTTATCGATTAACGGTCAGTAATCACCACACATTCCTAGAAATAGAATTCCAACTGGATATCTCGTACAATCTGCCTCGATTTTCGGTTTTGTTAACGGTTTCTTGCCTAAAAAGGTGGGCTTGGCGTTTTGTCAAAACCTAAAATTTTTAGTTTGACTTTGCTTCCTGGCCAAAACAATGCCCCAGAAGTACTTTTACAGCTTCAAAAGTAAATTTTACGCGAGATTTTAGCCGGTGCCTTCGATTTTGGACGGTTTTCCAGGTTAAAAAAAAAATTGTTTTGTTTTTATTTATTTCGGCTCCCAGTGGACAAACCTCGGTTCGTCGTAATGTCCTCCCCCCCGGTGGTCCATATGGAGCGGGCAGGAAGAAGGACTCTCGACATCCTGTTTTACATTCGGTTAGACAATGGCGTTTAATGCTCTCCGGCTTCCGCGACGGCCTCGATTCCGGTTTTCCAGGTCCGGTGGGGGGCAGAAGGGAGGTTCGATCATCAACAAACACAGAATATCAGATCATTTCAAAGAAAATTTAAAAAAAAATGATAGGACATCAGCTAATTGGAGACCAATCGACTTTAATTACCGGATCCTCCAATATGGATAGATATTTTTAGAAGCCTGGTTTAGATCATCAAAGATCGATCCCCATTCAAAACATTCTATATTTTACACCTCCAATAAAAAAAAGCAATTATTTTAAAACTAATGCTAAAATATTTAGACAAGGAAATAAGTGAAATTGACGTTTATCTGGTGTAAAAACACATGAAAAACCCGTGTATAAACTACGCTATATATAGTGGAAAATTAATTTAAAACCTATTTTATAGAAGGGGGGAAATCCATGTATAATTTATTTTATATAAAAAGTAACACATTTATAACCTAACTTTATTTGGTGGAAAATAATGAAATCTTCTTCATACGAAAGGAAACAATAGTATAACCTACTTTTATCTGGACGGAAACTAATATGAATCCTACTTTACAATTTATAAGAGGGGGAAACCTTTTCATAACCTACCTTTATCTGGAAGAAAATTTAGATGAAACATCCTTTACATGAAAGTAAACCCATTTACTTTACAATTTATATGAGGGGAAATCCATAATATATAACTTATTTGATATTAAAGGAAACAAATGTATAACCTACTTTTTTTTCTGTTGGAAAACCCACGTAAACTTTATAAATGAGGAAACCAATGTAAAACCAAGTTTTATCTGTGAAAAACCAATGTATAGCCTACTTTATATGGGAGGAAACCAATGTACAACCTACTTGTATCTGAGGTAAACCCGTGTTTAGTCTATTATTATTATTATTTTGGAGAGAAACACTACTTAAGCCTACTTTAAAACTTTTTTTAATTGGAGGGACCCCATATATTTCCTACTTTTAGAAGGGTGATACCCATGTATAAGCTAGTTTATTTGCGGGAGACCCATGTAAAACCCTCTTTTACCTGGGGGGGGGTGTATAACCTAGTTGTATCTGAGGAAAACAAGTGTAATCTACATTTATCTGGGGTCGAAGCCAAACTAAAGCCTTCTATTATTTGGGGGAAACCCGTATAAAACCTTCTGCTAATGGGGAAGCTTATGTATAACCTACTTTTATCTGTGAGGAACTCATTGTATAACTTTTCTTTATTCTGTTGTCCACTATCTAAGTTGAATCGTGGAAAATCAGACCAATTTTAGTAACTAGTAGGAAACCTTCCCTTTCAACGAGTATAACAATGGTTTAACCCGTAACCCCAATAAAATTTTCCTGACGAGTTATGATCACACACATCTTTTTGTTCCCCCATGGTTCAGAACTTTAACAGGCGTGTATATTTTCACACTTTTTATTGACCCAACAAATTTAATGACAAAGTAAATATCGTAACTGGTCGAACAGACGGATAAAGGTCACATTCGTTTAACCCTTTAGCTTCAGATGATTCGGTGATTTTCTGCTCTCCTTTCGCCCACCGGCCAAACCCAATGTTGAGAAAGGGCAATAAATTTTTATCTCTTGTTTGTAGAACGGCCGGCGGCTTATCGGCACCGTGGAATTCTTCCTTCTAATAGAGTCAATTCGGAAAAAACGAAAAGAAGAAAAAGGGAGAATATTTCAGTGTCAGGCGGCGTCCCTTTCAGAGAGAGGGGTCGGTGGAGAGAGAGCATGGAAAATCAGCTAAAAGAGAAAAGAGAAGAAAACCGGCCTAGGGGCCTTCTTACCGTTATCATTTGGCATTCAAAGCCAGCATCGAAACGTTTTCAGAATCCTTGAAGGAAAAAACGGTGTTCAATTTAATAAATTGAGTCAGAACCCTTTGGCCGAGGTCTGGTTAAATTTGGCAAACATTGAAAATATTTTTTTTTAAACCTCCAAATCAGAATATTTAGAGTTCAGGAAAAAAATTGGCCCCTGTTCAAACAGCAGTTTCTCCTCATATAAATTATAAAGTAAGTTTAACGGGTTTCCACCAAATAAAAATAAGCACCCGTAATATATGGGTATAACCCGAGTAAAAGCAGGCTATATACGGGCTTTCCCCCCAATAAAAAAGGCTTTCAATTGCCTAATTAAAAGTACGTTTTCTTCCAGATACAAACAGGTTTAAGTTTGGTTTTCTTCCACAAATAAGTAATACAATGGTTTCCACATAAAAATAGCAAGTTATATATGGACTTCCTCAAGATAAAAGGTTATGCTTGGGTTTCCTCAAAAGTAAATGTAGGTTTTCACCAAATAAAAGAAAGATTTTCCATTGGTTTCCTTCCTGTAAAGTAGGTTTATCATGCATTACCACCAAATAAAATAAGGTTTTACACGGGTTTCCCGCCCAAATAAATTAAGTTTTTCCTGGGTTCCCGCCAAATAAAATAAGGTTTTACATGGGTATCCACCAAATTCTTACGTGATAAAAAAAGGTTTACAGTAGCGTTCTCATTGGTAAATGTAGGCTACCCATTGGTTTCCTTTCATATAAAATAGGTTTTATACCTGTCAGTCTACCACCAGATAAAAATAGGTTTTAGTTTGGTTCCCTCCCAGATAAAGTATGTTATACAAGAGTTTCCGCCAAATAAATGCATGTATGTTTAACATACGTTACAGTTTTATACCTGTCAGTTTACCACCAGATAGAAGTAGGTTTTTAGTGTCGTTCTCCCCCAGATAAAAATAGATGATGCAAGAGTTTTCGCCAAA